GTGACTAAACCTACCCACACAGAAAAGTACAGTGGTACCTCGGGTTACATACACTTCAGGTTACAGACTCCGCTAACCCAGAAATAGTGCTTCAGGTTAAGAACTTTGCTTCAGGATGAGAACAGAAATCGTGCTCCGGCAGCGCAGCAGCAGCAGGAGGCCCCATTAGCTAAAGTGGTGCTTCAGGTTAAGAACAGTTTCAGGTTAAGAACGGACCTCCAAAACAAATGAAGTACTTAACCCAAGGTACCACTGTACTAACAGTGGGTTAGTCACATAGTCAGTGGCTGCAGATGACCACTGCCCTAGACAGCCACAGGTGCCGTGCCGTTTTCTGACTCCATCAAATAAGAAGCAAAAGCAAGCTTCTTTAGGGCGTATTATGTCTGTTGCAAAGTGCGCTGCTCTGTCAATACAAGCCTGCAAACAGCCCTTTAGCTGGGCGCTTCTGAGGAGCTAAGAGTTGCCTCCAGGCGGCCGTTATACATTTCTGCTGAAGGTGGGAGGTGTAAATTATGTAAATATATTTGCCAGCTCACCTTACAAAAGTTTGTTATTTCTCTCAGGCCAAAAAGGAACGATTATGAGTATATGAGGGCAGGCGAGGCCAGTAACTTTACGCAGTAATTATTTTTTATTACTTATTTTAATCCTGCCTGTACTCCCATGAGCTCAGGCTGGTCCACGTGGTTCGCCGCCCCCCTCCCTATTTTTATTCTCACAACATCCCACCCTGTGAGGTACAGGGAGATGGTGACTTACCCCAGGCCGCCTAATGAACTTTATGGGGATCTGAGCCCATCTTCTCGGGCCTAAACTTTTCCTGACTGCATCACTGTGGGACTGACTTTACTTTTATGTGTTAATAGTAACTTGTTTAGAATAATTTTGCACAGCTTCAGGCCAATTCATGACTCAGACAAAAGGTCTGCCTCCCTGTGCAATTTACAAGTACCTTGCAGTTTAGTGAGCTTTGATGTAGCTACCATGGAATCTACCAAACCCCCCTTTCATTATTTGGAACCATTCTTGGGAAATTCTCTCAAATATCTGTCAAATGTTAGAAGTTGGTCCTTTTATCTACAGACCTCATCACCCCTCCCACCCTCCGCCCCACCATACTTCCCAGGCCTCTCTACCTCCTCAGATTCTCATAGTGGAGATTCTGAGTAGAAAATCTGCAGGCCTTGGGCCCATGGGGTGGATTAGGAGAGCCTGCAATGCATTTCCTGCCATCAGTTTTGCTTGGGAGGCATTGATTTACTGGGGGAAAGTGAAAAATTATTCCCTCCCCACAGCAGCTCAGTCAACTGTATCTTGACAGAAAATCTACCATTAAAACAACCACCGCCATCACCCTGGATTTATCTGGGACAGAAGTGAATTAGAGGGGAGGAAACATTGGGAGTCCAAGCTTCTTCTGGCTTCTCCAGGAAGAGTGCAATGTCTAATGCGGTTGCGCAGCAGGAGAAATTGGTAGCCGTCTCCTCAGTTTTCTAAACTGGTGTAGGAATGAAGCATATGATGACGTTGGTTGCGGCCTAACCTGCCCCTGGAGGGTGCTGCCTGGCCCATCCCATTGCCAACCCAGAGGAAAATGTGGAATGAGGAGGCAGCCATTGCTATGACAGCAAGATTTGCCTGCAGGCTGCTTTACAAAGTTGGGAGCTTGGCTCACCAGCCCAGGGTCTGCAGAAGAGCCTAGCAGGGACCAAATGAAATGCAAGTAAGCCCACACTTCTTTTGGTGGTTACATTCCAGGGATCGCACCTAAAGCCAGCATCTCCTATAGTCAAAACACATTGGGATCCATGGTGGGGTAGGATTACCAAAGTCTTTTTTTCCTGGATGCCTGCCCTCACTTTATTTATCTTATTTAATTGCCAAGCATGTAAAGCTGAATGCACAGGCTTTCTGTGATTCCTAGTAACTGTTATTGTTACTAAATAGGTGTAAACATAAAACATTAAAGCTTCTTATTTAGTTATTACCTTTCAACAGATTTGCATTTCAAAGCACTTCTTTTAATTTTAAATTGCCTAAGTTAGCAATGTTCATTAATTTTGGTGGGACTGTTCTGAGTGGAACGAGCACTGGCTACAACCCGTAATAGCATTTTGAGCTTTTTAGTTTACATTGAAATAAAGCGCTTTATACAGTTATGAATAGCATGACGAAAGGAGATAGATATACACGTTTCTCCATCAGTCATTGTAGTGAGTGGAACAGAGGGTCACCAAGTGGAACTGATTTGCAGTAGACTCGGAAGCAAAATAAAATATTCCTTCATACAACATGAAATTGATTTATGGAATTCACTGCTACAACATGTGGTGGTTGATGGTCAGTGGCACAGGACCAACCAATCTAGGCCTGAGTGATTGAATTTCTGTCTCTGGCTGTGCTGGATCAGACCAAAGGCCTGTCTAGTCCGACATCCTGTGCTCACAGGGCCCTGCCAGATCCCTGGGGGATCAAAGCCTTGCTTTTGCTGTAATAATGAATGCCTTTGTGTGTTTGCTTTGAGTAATCTGCAGCTATTTGCTCTAAGGTTGCATCTCCCACACCCACCCTGACAAGCATAGCATAAGGATTAAGGTAATTAGCTAGAAAGTTCCAGTCTGAAATTGCACTTTTGCAAGCAACTTATTGGGGAGGCTTTAAGGCAGGCCTTCTGCATGCTCTGACCCTGAGCTCAGATTGCACACCGATTCTCCAGCACTCCTAAAAATAAAGGACCTGAAGCATCTGTTTGGCTCGCCTGGGACACGATGCGCCCTACCCTAATGCCCGACCTTGGGAGTAATCCGATGAAATGGACGACTGGAGACTCAGGAAAGACCAAAGGAAGCCCTTCCTCAACACAAAATTAATCTGTGGAATTCCTGGTCACAAGATGTAGCAAGGACCACTGTTTGAGATGTCTTAAAAGAGGGTAAGACAGTTATTAAGTATATGAGCCACATTCAAGGGCAGCATGTGATTGAATACATAATACAGAACAACTGTAGGAGAAGAAAGCTAGCACCTTCTTGCCCCCTTCTTTGTTTTGGGGGTGCTTCCCATGGACATCAGGGACGCGGGTGGCACTGTGGGTTAAACCACAGAGCCTAGGACTTGCCAATCAGAAGGTTGGCGGTTCGAATCCCCGTGACGGGGTGAGCTCCTGTTGCTTGGTCCCTGCTCCTGCCAACCTAGCAGTTTGAAAGCACGTCAAAGTACAAGTAGATAAATAGGTACAGTGGTGCCTCGTGAGACGAAATTAATTCGTTCCGCGAGTTTTTTTGTCTTGCGAAGCACGGTGTCGGAAAAGTTTTGGAAAAGCTTCAAAAATCACCAAAGTCTTCAAAAACCTCAAAAAAGGCTACCACACCGCGTGCTATGAGTTGCTCCTCGAAGTCAAGTCGCAACTGTATTAACGGTTTTAAGAAAAGGAAACAAACTTGCAAGACGTTTCCGTCTTGCGAAGCAAGCCCATAGGGAAAATCGTCTTGCGAAGCAACTCAAAAAACCAAAAACCCTTTCGTTTTGCGAGTTTTCCGTCTTGCGAGGCATTCGTCTTGCGAGGTACCACTGTACCACTCTAGGGGGAAGGTAAACAGCGTTTCTGTGTGCTGCTCTGGTTTGCCAGAAGCGGCTTAGTCCTGCTGGCCACATGATCCGGAAGCTCCCTTGGTCAGTAAAGCGAGATGAGCGCCACAACCCGAGTCGGTCACGACTGGACCTAATGGTCAGGGGTCCCTTTACTTTTTACCCATGGACATCTGCTTGGCCACTGTGGGAAGGATGATGCCAAGCTAGGTAGACCTTGGTGTGATCCCATTAACTTCAGTGGGAGCTTTCCCCCTGTGTAAATTACAGGCTCAGGAGCCTTCAGCCCCACAATACAGGTGGGGGGTACAGTTCCCTCCCGGACCCCCGATACTGGGGTTCCAATTGTTGGCAATTGGTGTTGAAAAAACAAAACAAACCCCACCTTGCACTTAAGTGTACAGATGCATAACCAACGTGCTGTGTAGTTGGGCTCATGTGTTCTTAACCCTCCTTTACATCCCACCCCAAAACAAAACAAAAACCACCATCTGGAAGGTGTCCCCCCCCTCCTATCCCCCTTTCCTCAATTCCCTTCCTCCCCTCAATTTTCTTAACTCCTTCACCGTCGCTTCACACATTACAATACACCCTCCCATACACACACACAACACTTGCATCCTGGCCGTAACCGTTTTGCTGTCAACAACCCTCATCGTCGCTCTTGATAAAGTTTGTGAAATGAAGCACAGCGCAGTGAATGAGTGACCCTACACATGCGTGCAAACGGGCCGCTTGCTCCCAAGCCCTGGGAGGATGCGGCTGGCCGCGCCACACTAAATAACGCCGCAGTAGCCACGCGTCCCTGCGGCGCGCGTGTGTGACACGTGAAGCTGCGCACGTGTGAAGCGGCCGCCAGTATCTGCCTTCTCTCTTCCATTATCTAGGTTCTGTTTCTTTTTCTCCATCTAGTCTCTGTCCCATTCTCCCATTCCTGTGCTGGGCTCCCCTCCCCTTTCCCCTTCTCACATTGCCCCCAAACCCCCTCTCTGTTCTCCCTCTCTTCTCCTATCAGTTCTCCCAATTCCTCTTTCTCTCCCCCCACTTTTCCCATCTGGAACTGATTATTCTCCCTGGGAAAGGAACTTTCAGGAAATTCCATCCTAGGGTTGGGTTAGCCGCCGGGGTGGGGGCGGGAAGGGAGAGAGGAGGGGAAAAAAACCTTTTCCAGCATTAACTTTCTTCTCTTCTCCCACCCGCCTCCATTCTGAGTTCCGCAGTCTTTTTTTTTCTCCGGCTACATCGTGTGTGCATCCTTTAAGGAATTCCTTTCCCAAGAGCCGCCTTTATTTTATTTTTTAGTTACTGTATTGATCATGCAATCCTCTTCCCGAATTCGTCCTGGTATATCCCTTTAAGAAAGTGGAGCAAGGAAGGGAAAGTGGGCGCGGCGTGAGACCCGCCCGTCCCTTTTAACCTCTGGCTTGCCAGAGCTGTAAAGCGGAGTCGAGTAGCTGAGCCAAGTGGTTGGAACTTTGCTCGAGAGATGGAAAGAGGTACGACGGGTCGCCCTCCTGAGAGTTTCGTGGGCCGGGACTCCTGGGTTCCTTTCTGTAAAGGGCGTGAGTAGACTCGAGAGTCCCTGGGCTCCGTTAGAAAATATAGGGGAAAGGGGCAGGGAACCCCGGATTCTCTGGGAAGGTAGTGTTGCCTAGTGGGTTAGAAGCGGGGATACTCTCTTGAAGAGCAATCGGTTTGGGAGCCAGGACTCCTGGGTTCTCTGGACTACTGGGCTAGAACCACGGTGTGGATATTGGGGCGGTTCCTCGTCTGATCTAGGAGCCGCCAGAGACTCAAGACTTCTGAGTCTGTTGGAAAGGAAGCGTGGACTAGTGGTTGAAGCCACAATGACTGGGAGCTAGGAAAGGGAGTGTAGAGTAGTAATGAGTTAGAATCTGGTCGTGGGAACGTTTCTAGAGACCAGAGGAGACCTGCGGGCAGCCTGAGTTCTGTGCTCCCTGGGTTTGGCTGGGAGAGGAAGTGTGGATTAGAATTGCCTGTGGATGACTAACTTGTGAGCAAATGGGGTGAGCCAGGGAGAAGAGGCTGTAAACAGAAGTTAATCACACACAAAAAATCCAAAGGCAGAAGATACCTGGTTAGGAAGGAATTGATGTCAGGCAGTGGGAGGCTGGCTAGCGCTGGAGGGAACTGCATTCGCAAAGGGTACCTGCACACCTTCTGAACATGTGCATGTTCACACTTGCAGGGGAACATGAGCAAATGTATCAAGAAGGGTCGTCCTGAAGGATCCAGTCCCTTTTCGGAAGGCTATTGGCTGTTTGGTATTGGGCTGAAAGGTTCATATGTGTGTTTGTGTGCACAGTTCAGGATTGTGTGGGTGAGCAGTGATGCACATGGCTGGTTCATACATAGGACACGTGAGTTTCACACAGTGATGTGGGGACAGTCAGCTTCCCAAACCTTGGTTTCGTTCTGCGGAAAAATCTCCTAAGTTGATCAGTAACAATTAACAGGTGCCGGTTGCAGTACAGTGGTACCTCAGGTTACATATGCTTCAGGTTACATACTCTTCAGGTTACAGATTCCGCGAACCCAGAAATAGTGCTTCAGGTTAAGAACTTTGCTTCAGGATGAGAACAGAAATCCTGCTCTGGCGGTGCAGCAGCAGCAGGAAGCTCCACTAGCTAAAGTGATGCTTCAGGTTAAGAACAGTTTCAGGTTAAGAACGGACCTCCGGAACCAATTAAATACTTAACCCGAGGTACCACTGTATAGATATCGGGCAAGCTTGGCAGTTCTAGAGTTTTTTGCTTTGTTCACCAGATACAAGTAAATTAAACATGCTGAATTAAGTGACTCTCTAGAGCATCAGAAAATTTCCTCAGGCATGTTACCTAATTAGGCAAACTAGCCTAATTATCCAATTCGAAATTTCCCAGAAAAATCCACATCGCTGGTTGTGAAACAGTGTGCGCTTGTGTGGAAAAATTCGGCAGAGTTTTGAGTGGTCTGTTATTGGGCGGCAGTGCTGTTCAGAGGTGCGGATTTTCCTGTATTCCTGCTGTGTGCATATGTAAAATCATTGATCTGCATTTGGCAAGGCCCATCCACTTTCCCTGGCAAAACCTGCTCAGTTGGGCACAAGCCTATGCCTTTGAGGATCACATGGCGCACTGCATGTTCAAAGCGTGTTCCAGGTCTCCAGGGCGCTTGGCGGGGGAAGGGTGCCGTGGATCCTCCGCTTGTTATATAAATCTGGATTCCTGTTGCTGCTGATTGAATTGCAGTCATGTGGTTTGTTGTCCCTGCTTGCCTAGTTAATTGATTTTTGTGTGTTTTGCTTTTGGTATTGCGGCTCCTATTGATTTATTTCTCTGTGTCTCTCTTTTAGTGCTGCTGGTGTTAATTCAGCTGTCTTTTAAAAAAATGAGGTTCGTTTACAATGTTTTGATACATGATCTGCTTTGATTCCTTATTCCTCCTTGATTCTCTGCACACGCTAGACTTTGCTGTTTCCCCAGAGAAATCGGAGATCTGGCTTCTCTTCCCCTTACTAGTTCTCAACCTGTGGGTCCCCAGATGCTGTTGGACTACAACTCCCATCATCCCTGACCACTGGTCATGCGGGCTAGGAATGATGGGAGTTGTAGTCCAACAACATCTGGGGACCCACAGAGAAAGGCTGTGTGGCTTAGAGAGTCCTGCAAAATTGGACCAAAGTTCCATCTAGCCCAGCATCCTGTTTTCAAGGATGCCTCCGGAACCCCTTAAGCAGGTCACAAAGGCAAGAGTTGTTCCCTGTTTGTCTCCAGAGATAGCCTTCCCCTGAACGTGGAGGTTCTACTTAGCCGGCCTGGCTAATTCAGCCTTTGGATTCTACTGGGAGGAGTTACACATGCTGTGCTTTAGCCTCATGAAAGTGCTCCTGTCAGCATGAAATGCTTGTGTCAGAGGAAAGTCTACAGCTCTGCAACAGAGCATCTGCTTTGCATGCAGAAGATTCCAGGTTTGTTCCCCAACATCTTCAGGCCAGGCTGGGAACACCTTGGAGAGTCCCTGCAAGTCAGTGTAAACAGTTCTGAACTAGGTGGACCCATGATCTGACTCTGTATTAGGCGCTTGTGGAAGGTGAGTGAGCTGTTCTACTCCCCCTTCTTAGCAGATGGGGAAACTGAGGTCAGGAGGAATCTTGCCTTCGAGGAAACCAGTGTGTCCTTGACCGAACAGGGAGTTGAAACCAGAGCTGAGCCGCCATCTTTTTATAGCATCACCGATGCATGTCCCACTTAACAGAATAGCATGAGCAAATCAAACAGACCCCTGCCCCAAGGAGCTTGCAGTCTTGCGTTGGACATGCTGTTTGTTGTGCCAGATCCGCCGCGCCTCACTGTGACTCCAAACACCTCCCTACTCATCCCAGGATCCAGCCAAACTCTTTCATCCCATCCTCATCGCTAGACCTTCTCCACATGTTAGCATTTGGCGGGTTGCTGGACTTTTGGGTCTGATCCCAGACGGGCTGCTCTTTTAACTCTCAGCAATTTCCTACAAGGAAGCCCTTTTGGTGTACAAAAGCAGGTGCGTAGGCAAAACGCTGTGTGCATAGGTGGCAGTTGTTGCAACTGAGCAGAGCTTTCTTCCACAGCTTGTTGGACCAGTCTCGAGGTGGCTCCTGGTTCCCAGTTCCTTATTTGACACTGTAGCCTGAATAAGAACAAGTTGCCAAACCCCTGCACCCCAGAATAAGCTTTGGTCATAACCTCCGTGAACAGGAGGTCCCCTCTCAGTTGTATTTACACCCTGTGTAGCTGCCGAACTCTGGAGCAATCTCTAGACACAGGATTTCCCCGCTTCCCTTACATGAAAGCAACTTGGATAAAGTGGTTCTTGTATTTCAGAGTCTAGAACCCATTCAGAGAGTTCAGGAATTACACCTAAATTTCTTCGAGACACACACACACACACACACACACACACACAGCGTAAGAAGATTCTGCTGGATCAAGCCCATCTAGTCTAGCATTCTGTTCTCACACTGGCCAACCAGATGTCTGTGGGAAGGTGGTGAGCCCAGGACCTGACTGGAACAGCCCTTTCTCCATTTGTGATTCCCAGTCAAAACCCAGTTTCCCTGAAACTCTTCGCTGTGGTCCAGGCCTATGGTCTCCCTATTCCCCTTTTTATCCCATCGTGGATAGAGATCAATCAATGAGTCACATGGCAGTGCATCGTTTTGCTGACGCATCAGTGTGCGGGGGGACAGAAAGGAAGCATTTCAGATAACAGCAAATTGAACAGCTAAGACCCTGATAGCAGAAACATCCATGGGCGGAAAATGCCATTGACTTTATGAAATTGGAGCAGGAGCGGTTAGGAGGCAGCGCTCTCTGCTTCTCTGATGAAGGTCCAAGTTTGCTGAAAGAGCATTCACCCTCCTTTTTGCTTATATTTTCTAAAGGAACAAAAAGTCACGCACACGTTTCCAGTAAACTTAAGGAGAAAACTCTTCATTTGTCTTGTTGATTACTTTTTCCAGTACTCAATAAAAACTCTCCTGTCCCAGTCCCTCATGTCCCAGTCCCTCGTCCTCTGCCGCTGCCAAAATCTCCCATTATTTGCTAATTGTTATCTTCTGGTCATGTTACTGGCTGCTGTCGCCTTCACCCCCTTAATCGACAATTCTTTATCATTCCCCCAATATTTTGCCTCGCTCAGGCTCGTGGCTGGAAAATGCCTTAATTCGTTGTTGTTTTAATCTAGTCTCATTATTGGAACAATGTTTTCTAGCCTTGTTGGACGGAAGGGAGTTTCAGACTTCTGTGCAGCGGGGTTTCAGAAGGCCTTGAAGATCTGCCCTTTCCAATTGGCCTTCCAGGAGTGATGTTTTCTTGGTTGGGCTGCGGCCATGTTTTCCTGGCTTTCTTATTCTCGTGAGGCGATGGGCCAAGCTATTTCTGGTTTTAAAAGGTCTGCGTTAACTGTTTTTCTTCTACTCCTTCTTGGCTTTATGGCTGTAAGCCACCTTGGATGGGCATTGTCCCCCTCCCCATGCCTAAAAATAGTTTCAAATAAATGACATTATTTCTAAATCAGATGTGGGATTGAGAAGTGGGCACCAGAGTGCGGTACGTAGGCCAGATGTGGCCTGATCCTTTATGCCATTGAGCCCCCTCCGTCGGCTCCATCCTTCAAATGTAAATACAGTGGTACCTTGGGTTACATACGCTTCAGGTTACAGACTCCACTAACCCAGAAATAGTACCTCAGGTTAAGAACTTTGCTTCAGGATGAGAACAGAAATCGTGCGGCGGCAGCGGGAGGCCCCATTAGCTAAAGTGGTACCTCAGGTTAAGAACAGTTTCAGGTTAAGAACGAATTAAGTTCTTAACCCAAGGTACCACTGTAGTCCAATAAGAGAGGCTGTGTGGTGTAGTGAGTGCTGAAGTACGACCTGAGAGACGAGGGTTCAAACCCTCCACTGGGCCATGAAGCTCGCTGGGAGACCTTGGGTCAATCACTGCCTCTCAGCCTAATCTACCTCACAGGGTTGCTGTTGGGATTAAATGAGATGGGGGAGAATTTCGTATGCCATCTTGAGCTCCATGGGGGGGCGGGGGGGCGGGAGAAGGTGGGATATAAATGTAATAAATAAGATGACCAGCAGATTTCTCAAATCCTCTGAACACTGTTTTTTGTTTTTGTTTTTAGCCATGATTTCATTCCTAAAATCTAAATGTTAGGACTGCTAGCAAGACCAACCTTTTTAGCAAATGCTCAGCCTTCTACCTGCTGTTCTAGCTTGAAGGCAACACACACGGCCCCTTGCACTTGCAGCCTGAACTGGCCATTGTTCATTCTTCCACCTCAGGAATCTGCCACAATATTCTGGCGGGCTGTGTGTGTGCCCTACCCTGACATACTAGGGCATGGAGAAATACTAACTTTCCTAAAGCCTTATCTGAATGATGTTGCCATTAGATGAGGAGCAAAGATGTCTGGTGGGGGTGGAAGAGGAGGAGGAGAATAGCGGCTGCTGTCTCCTATGATTGCCCTCTTGTCTCTCCCCCCCATTTTTTGTCTACTTCACTGTTAAACATAAGCTTTGAACCTGATGCTCATAAATAGAGATAAAAAGTTCTTGACTCTGAGATTTATCGGTATGTGCAACGACCTCCTTCACCCCTTGCGTCCCACAATACGGACACAGATCTGCCTCTCGAAAGGTTGTTTTTCTTAAAGCTGACTAATCTTAGCAGGCGATCACGCCTCCCCCTTTAAACCATTCATCTCCAAACTCCTCTCCTTTCAACTAGCCGTCCTTCTCCCAATCTTCACTTTTTGTCTGTGCCCCCATGGCTACATCCATCCATCCACACTCTGGGAGGACTGCAGATCTCCCTCCATCTGACTGTCAGTGCATAAACTCTAAAAAGAGGATTCCTGTGGCAGAGAAGTAAGTCTGGGAGCTCCACCTGTTGATCTTCAGCCCAGTCTTCCTTGATCCCAGTTGCATAAAGGGTATACCTGATGGCAAAGGGAATACGTTCTGCACAAAAACAAGTGTGCTTCTATATTGTTGCACAGGGACGCAGGTGGCGCTGTGGGTTAAACCACAGAGCCTAGGGCTTGCCGATCAGAAGGTCGGTGGTTCGAATCCCTGCGGCAGGGTGAGCTCCCGTTGCTCGGTCCCTGCTCCTGCCAACCCAGCAGTTCGAAAGCACATCAAAGTGCAAGTAGATAAATAGGTACCGCTGCGGCGGGAAGGTAAACGGCATTTCCGTGTGCTGCTCTGGTTCGCCAGAAACGGCTTAGTCGTGCTGGCCACATGACCCGGAAGCTGTACGCCGGCTCCTTTGGCCAATAAAGCGAGATGAGCGCCGCAACCCCAGAGTCGGCCATGACTGGACCTAATGGTTAGGGGTCCCTTTACCTTTATATTGTTGCACACTACAGAAGTTGAAAATAATCCCCTGGCTTGCTTAATAATAATAATAATAATAATAATAATATCCATGCTTCATCAGCACATCCCACAATGGGTTAATGGTATTTAAAATTCAGAATTAAATGCAGCTGGAAGATTATAGTCACAGGTATAGGGGGGTCCTGAAAACACACATATCAGGTGTCAAAGGCCAGGGTAAAGAGGTACATTTAAGATCAAGATACCAGGGTTATCTGGCTCAAAACTTGTTTTCAATGCTGATGGTCCCAGGATTCTGTGGTGATCATCAGCCACAGGTTCGTGACAAAGAGGCAAGTGCCTCTGACCACCCATAATGCCTTGCACCGTAAAGTAACTGCATTCAAAGTTTCTGACCCTCCTCCTGGCAACACCTGGAATTAAAGAGAAGGCCGCAGGGTGCAATTTTATGGTAGGTTTGCCTCCTGTGACACAGAGTCCCTGCAAGAAGAGAGCCTGTGCTTCAGCAAGAGGAGCTGTATTGCAAGCCCTCCCCTTACTGCTCTACTTTTCTGCTTGCGGGGAGCCTTTTACATGGGACTTAGGAACCAGTAAGATGGAGCAATTCATCTATCCATCACATCTCTTAACACGTTCTCTCCTCATATGTATGGTTCTAGCCTATTGTTGTCTGCCAATGAGATGCACCTTAGGTGCCAAGGAAACTCTAATTACGCCGATATGCTTAGATTTTATGATGAGCATGCTTTGCTTAATTTTGAAGGTAGCAGTTGAGTTTTATGCAAAAATTGCACCCTCTACCATCCACTGAGCAGTTAGAATAAATTGGGCATAAGGAGACCTTTAGTGAAGGAAAAGGTGATAGTGTATATAGCCTAGAAAAATAGGAACCATCAGCAAAACCAATCATGAGAGCAAGAAACCTTTTTTTTTAATGAATGTTGAGGTTTTAAATTCTAATTGCACAGAACCTACAGCCTTGGGTTTATCTTTCTTATCCATACATTAATGCCCCCTACAGTCATGTGGTACCCCACTCCTCCATTCTTTCCAATTGCATCACCCTTCCTGGTTGTCTTTTGTGTCCCTAGCCACTCCATTATCTTTTCTGTTTGATTTTCTGTGCATAAGTTGTTGCTTCCTTAATATGGGATAGCCCCATGCCCCAATATAGCTTAGGGCATCCTTTGCCCTCTCCATCAGTCTTCTTCCATCTCTCCCCCCCCGCATCTTGTTCCCAGTTGTTCCCTTCTACCATCCTCCACTTCAATTTCCCTCTTTCCATACCTCCTCGCTGTTGTTTTTTCAACATGCCACTTTTGTTTTAAAGCCACATGCTTCCTTTCTCAAATTCCCTTCTTTGCAGCCCTCTGCTCTTTCACCAATCCTCCCCAATCCGGCGCTTAGCCTGGTTTCCAAACACGCCAACCAAGTCCGGAAGTTCAGGAATGCAGTGAACTTTATAAGGCAATGGAGAGGCTTTTTGTGTTTTTCAAATTTCCTCTCCCCTCTTCTTGGGACAATATTTTTTTTGGCTCCTGGATCTCAAGCGTTTTTCCCCCCATTTGGGGCTTGTGTCTCCTCCCCCCCCCACCTCTTTCTTTTCTTTGGGGCAAGCGGTGTGTTTGGTTTTGCTTGAGCTTCTGACATCTACGATTTCATCTTTCTAATGCAGGTATAAATAAATAAAATTCCGGGCCACCACCCAAGAAGGGAGGAGTGAAAACTCGTGACGAAGAAGAAGTGGGTGAAAGAGAGAGAGAGAGAAAGAGAGGAGTGTGAGAGGCGGACAAATGAAAGGAGAGAGAAAAGAGGAAATTTTGCTGGGGATTTCTGAGAACTGTGAGCAAACTTCCCGGACCTAGCTAGACAAAAGTGGCGACAGGATCCAACTGCAAATATCCAGGGAAGGATATACGCGTTTTGTAGCTCTGGTTCACTTGGCACTGCCTCTTGGCCGGATCGGGGCGACTACAAAAGCAGGAAGAACGACCGGGACAGTCCTGTGAGTCACCCCGAGCTGTGGGGGAAAGGAAAAGGACGTTGGAGTGTTTTCTTTGCAAAGGTGAGTTTCGCTAGCACCTGGGAGAGCTTCTAAGCAATGCTTTGTGCTGGCTGACAGCTCTCAGCCGACTGCTGCGAGTCAGAAGGCAAGAGAGCGCAGCAGGCTGTCTGGACTCCTGAGTTCCCGGAGACAGGATTGCGGGGTCAGCAGGGAGTGGCTGCCAGACAGGGCCTTGTGGGCTCCCCCACAAGGCAGGGTGGGATTTAGTGGTTTTGAGCCAGCCAGCAGGGAAGTAGGACTCCTGGTTCCTCTAACAGAGGACTGGGGTTTAGGAGCCAAGGCACAGGAAATCTGGAAGAGGTGGGAAAAAGCTGCAGGGTTCCTGAGTTGGGTTGTGGGACTGGGGAGTGGGCTTGAGTGAGGTGGGCAGGTTTGGGTGGTTCTCTCCTCGAAAGGTGGGGTGGGTGGGTGGAGATGGTCTTCAGCCCTTGGGTGCCTCATCCCAGGAGAGGAGGGGGCGGGGAGGGAGAAGCCACCGTTTGGGTAGCAAAAGGGGTGTGTGTCTGGCAAGAGGAATGAGTGAGTGGCCATAAATCAAAGAGTGGCTGGGCTGGGAGCAGGAGAGGGTGTTGCCTGGGGCTAAAGTAAATAGGCCCCCTAGCCTGAGCTTCTTGGCATGCTCTCCACAGGCAATCAGAACTCCTGGCTTGCAGCTAAACTTCCCCTATGCCCCCTTTCTTGACCCCCCTCCTAAAGAACCCAGGAGTCCTGGCTTTCCCCCACCCCTGTAAGCCTCCAGTCGGTGCAGGGTACCTGATTTGCACCCAGCCCCACATCATGCTGTAGCCCCCCCATATCCCACCTCTCAGCCAGCAAACCCACACGTTCAAACACCCACGTTGGTTTCGCTGCCACCACAACAACCCAGTTAAATCCTGTCCCTTTCCAAGAAGTGCCCTGGCTCCCAAGCCCTTCACTGGCACTTTGTATTCACTTGATCACTGTTCCGTTCCAGGGAACCCAGGTGTCCGGGCTAAATGGCTCTGCCCCATCACATCACCCCTCCCCCTCCCCCGATTCCCGATCATTTCCTCAACCTCGGCCACATCTGAGCCTTTCAAAGGACTTCATTTCATTTACCAAAGGAAATTCCGTCATCGTACTCCGGGGCTCGTAACCATATCTGTCATCCGCAGAGAAGGGAAACATGGACGGGAAAGGAGGGAATAGATATCTTCTCCCAAGAGGCTGGAGCATAAGCCTCTCTGGGTTCGTGCCAGGACCATGTCAGACCCCAGCCCTTCTGGATCTCAGCTGTTCCCCGTCTCCCTGTTAAGTTATTGCATGCACAATTGATGAGTTATAGTGCGTGCTCCCAAGAGTCCACTTTTGTTGGGGGGGGGGGCGGTATTGTGGCATTATCCCCTGCTCTCCCCTCCCCACACCCCTTGCCTGAAATCAGCCTTGCGTAGAGAAAACTTCCCCTCCACAAACTGCCCCCTGCTTCTTATTAGCTAACTTGTCCTCACAGACTATGTTGGTCAACCGGGGCATTCATAAAAAACAAACAAGTTATAACGTTTTTCCTGCTAGTCGCCTGGAGGCGAGTCTGAATTTGACACAGGTGACCAGGCGAGCAGCTCTTGGCAAGCTGAATTCGTGAATGCAATCTCTTTTATGCTTGGGAGAATACTTCTCCCCCCCCCCCAAAACAAACCCGACTTCCAATGTAGTTTTCCCAGTACTATTCTGGTTGTTATATGTGCGCTGTTAGTGCAAGTGTTGCTTGATAGATCTCTCCTGGACTGCAGTTAATGACACAAACACCACAGCTCTTTCCCATCCACTGGTTACCTGCACCATTTAGTGATCTTCCGTTCTTCTGCTCTTTTAAAAGCCACCTTTTGAATTTGTCTTCCTGCTCTGCCTGTCCCAGAACTTAGCTGTCTTCATGTAAACTCTGGCTTAGAAGGAGGAGAGCATACATTTAACCAGGTTCATGTTGACCAGGCTGGGCTTCCCATCCTGCCAACTTTTGTATCTCACCCCCCCAAAAAAATATCCAGTGGAGCATTGCACTGTTGTTGCTGGCTCAGGGTTGGTGTTTATCATTTATGGCCTTCGGGGTGGGAGATATGCCAGTTCAGGCAAAGAGCACTTTGGCAGAAGTTACACGGCGGATGCAGCCACTTTGAAGCGGTCCGTTCACCAAAGCTGCCTTGGACTTCAACATTGCTGAAGCTAAGCAGGGCTGGATCTGGTGGAAAGATCCACTTTGCAGCCCTGTCTAGTCTAGGCTGGGTTGTGTTCCATAAAGTCCAGTAACTGTAGTGGTAAGTAAAACATACACAGTGCATTGCTGACTTAACCTAAGCAGTGAAGCTGGGTCTCTGCCCCAAGGGTTTTACAGTATAGGCTTGACAGTGGGGAGAGGTAGCTAAGGGGACTAAGGGATGGACAGAGTCAAGAAGAGATGGCTGTGAGGGCCATGCAACCAGAGCTCAACCTTAGAGCAAGAGGGGGGGGGCATTTCAGCTTGGGGGCCACATTCTCTGCTATGGAGCCTTCCAGGGGCCACATGCCAGTGGTGGGCGTGGCCCGGAGAGAAAGTGGGTGGAGCCAGTTTGCCACATAACCCTCTCTTATTCTCTTTCTAGGCTGGCAAGACGCATTATCAGAGTTCAATGGCTCTCCAGCCAGGCAAAAACACAAAGGGGGGGTGCAAAAGAGGGCCGGTGAGGGGTGTGGCTTGGGGAGAGGGCCACGAAGAGAGGCCTGGAGGGACACAATCAGCCTCTGGGCCTGAGCTGCCCTACAGACATATCTCAGTATTTATTTATTTTTTATGGAATTTACTGACCTCCACAAAAACATATGTTGGTTTCCCCCCTGCTGCTTTTCCAGCAGAAAGCTGTGCCCAAAGCAGTTCGGAGCACGTAGGAAAATAAGTGAAAGAAGCAATGCATAACGAAAGAGAAACCATCAGCATATCTAACCACTCAGTATAATAAAAAAAATAGTTGCGCCAAATATTGGCAGCTGCCTCCACAGTTGAGGGATGCATTTCTGAGGCATGACGAAGAACCAGCATTTTATCTAAGTGTTGGTGGAACTGAGTGAGCGGGCAAGATTTAGAACCATTAGACTTTGTCTGTTATTGTAGATTTTTAATGCACATTTCGTGGGGTTTTTAAAAGTGAAATTTCCCTTGTACGGAAAGGGCTCAGTCCTTCCCCATTCCAGGTTTTTTTGGTACCTGAAGAGTTAAGAGCTGGCTAGGAGATTGGCAGCCAGCTACCTTCCTGTGTTCTGCTGGAAGGGTGTGGTGTTGAGTGGCTGAGAGGAAGGGATGCTGGCAGCCAGGACTCCTGGGTTCTTTTCTCTCCTTGCCTCCTAATGTGTTTGGGTTTCTCTTTCTCTCCCACCTGTGCTGACTCGACTCTCCCTCCCTGCCCTTTTTTCCACTTCTGTCAGCGCTTTCTGATCTTCGGAGCTTGCCGGCTTCCTTCTAACTTGGCCTCCACCTCCTCCGTGTTGTCCTCCTTCTCCTCCCCTCCCCAGTACTTGCCCAGACTATGTCTCCTACCCCCAGCGCAGCTGCGTTGTTCCCCATTAAAGCATGAATCATCCCCGGCTCTTAGATCATCACACCTTAGATCATCACATGCAATAGGCAGGCAGCACCCAGGAGTCCCACCTTCCTGTGTGTATCTCCAAAGCACCATCCATGTCAGGGCCAGCCCAAGACATTTTGACACCTGAGGCGGACCCCAATATAGCTCCCCCCTCCCTGCCATGGAAGAAGGGGGTTAAGGGATGCAGGTGGAGCTGTGGGTTAAACCACTGAGCCTTGGGCTTGCCAATCAGAAGGTCGGTGGTTCGAATCCCCACGACGGGGTGAGCTCCCGTTGCTCGGTCCCTGCTTCTGCCAACCTAGCGGTTCGAAAGCACGTCAAAGTGCAAGTAGATAAATAGGTACCGCTCCGGCGGGAAGGTAAACGGCGTTTCCGTGCACTGCTCTGGTTCGCCAGAAGCGGCTTAGTCATGCTGGCCACATGACCCGGAAGCTGTCTGCGAACAAACGCCAGCTCCCTCGGCCAGTAAAGCGAGATGAGCGCCACAACCCCAGAGTCGTCCACAACTGAACTTAACGGTCAGGGGCTCCTTTACCTTTACCTTACATCGAGAACAGGGGGGGTGGGGAGAAGGATCAATGTCAGGATTTGCTCCCCCAGTGAACACTGCCGCTCATGGGTGAGCCAGCCCTTCTTTACAAAATCATTTTTATTTGATTTTACCAATATAAAATTATAACAATCCAAATGCTTATCCACATATAGAGATTACTCGGAATCTCAAGACTTCCCACCACCCCCTTCATGGGTCCTATTGTCAGCATTTACAACTGCATATTATTCGATAATCTACATTTTATATCAGTCCATATTGCCCATAATATTTGTTACGTTACAAGTGAGATTAAAATTCTGCTAATGTTTTCCTCTGCTTGCAATGGTCTCTTAAATAGATTATAAATTTTCCCCATTCCTTTTTAAAGATTTTGTCCTCTTGGTTCCTGAGCTTTATGGTCAGCGTTGCCATTTCTGCTTAGTCCGTCAGCTTAGCTTGCCATTCCTCCCTGATAGGGACCCTTTCTTCTTTCCATCTCTGGGCTAGTAGCACATGGGTGAGCCAGCCTTGATCCATGTGTCTGGCACAGTACAGAGTACGAAAACAGGTAGGTCTTTCCTCTGAGGCACTTAAAAGTTGGACAAGAGGGAAATTGAGGTAAACAGGGAGAGAATGTGTTCCCTTCAGCTACCCACTCTGGGGCTCGGTCCCCAGGCGGTACTGATTTCTCCCATGCTTAAATCTGTGGTGTCCCGATGATCCCATTATCTTCAGCTGTGATCCTAACTAAACCCCACTTGTCTTTCATTTCTCGGCCTCTCGGTTAAGATCAAGTGTAGTAGCCAAAGATTTCCAGTCCCTGTCTTTTCCATTTTAGCAGTCCCCACCAGGGCCGGATTTAGGTTTGATGAGGCCCTAAGCTACTGAAGGTCCTTTATACGTCCAGCTGTCCTTTGTCAGCAACAAATTGTCGCTTTTTGTGTGTTGAATATATGCTATATGGTAATTTATGGACCTAATAGGTATCTAAAGCCATTTGCCATGCAACCAGTCCATGCAGAATGTAGGCACCCTATATATAGAAATGAGCAAACCAGTGATATTTTAGAGAGCAGGCTAGCAGGCGGGGCCCATTACTTACATCATAGGAGCCTACACAACACAAAACACTGTTTCTGTTATGTAGGTTTTATTTTATTTGTTTTTTATCATATATTTTGGAAATGTACATCCAGGTTTCTTTTTCCTTTAATTTTTTTGGGGGGCTCCCACTTGGGGCCCTAAGCTATACCTCGTTTAGCTTATATGTAAATCCAGCACTGGTCCCCACCCTTTTCCTCCATGTTCCACACCCCCAACCTTCTCCTTCTCTTAAGGAACCCAGGAGTCCTGAGTCCCAGCTCCCATGGCAACCTAGGCGTTCCTTGTTCTAGGAACGGGTTGAACAAGTTGCTGTCCTCTGGACTGCAAGAGTGGGAGCTCAGCACCCTACGCTGGGGCAGGAACAGTTCCCGCCGTCACTCATCCCAGGCTCTGCTTCTGAAATCTCAGCCAGGAGCTGGGGAACGAGGGAAGGAGCCTCTGGTCCCTACCCTTAGTGCCAGTGGAGTGAAGTGGATTGATCAAGGATACAGACCTGGGTTTAAACCTCTACTTGGTAATAGCCTCAGAATAAGTAGCAAATTCTGTGTGGCCTACCTTGCAGAATTGTTGTGCAAATAAACTGGGCTAGCCCTCCATTGAGCTTTTTGGAAGGAGGGGCAGGATACGAATCTGACAGAGATGAGGCAGCCGCCAAGACAACCGCGAATTCTATATAGTTTTAAAAATAATGATTATGGGGGGGGGGAATGAAAAGGGGTTTTCAATGTGTGTCTCCACAAAGCCCTGTATGGTAGACCACTGTTTCCATTTTGTGACTGGGGACCAAGATGGGCGAGTGAGTTGCCTAAGGTCAAGTGAGGAATCTGTAGCAGAGGCTGGGAGCGCTCAGATCCATGTATCGCAGGCCTTGACGGACCGACTATGCTGGCTCCGTTGGGAAGCTTCCAGCCCTTTCTCCTCTCACACATTTCTCTTTCTCTCCTCCCCCCCCGCAGATGCCCATCCTCAAGCAGTCCCCTGTCTCCCACTCCAAGAAGCGGCCGCGTTTGGACCGGGCCATGATCAGCGCCCCCTTGGGCGATTTCCGGCACACGATGCACATCGGCCGCGGCGGAGATGCTTTTGGCGACACGTCTTTCCTCAGCAACCACGGGGGCTCCAAGGCCAACGGGCTGCCTCCCGATGTGTCCCCTGGGGCCTTCTCTAGCCCTGGAGATGCCCGCTTTGAACTGTTGTCTCCACCCGGGAGCGGGAACGGCATAGTTCAGAGCCCGGCGACATCGACCCCGGATGGCAGCTTCGTGGCCCTGCAGACCCCGGAGAAGGCAGAGCGGCAGAAGCCCTCTAACGGAAGGGACTGGGACCTGCCCCAGAAGTTCTCCTTGGAGAGCCCCACATTGGAACATGCCGAATCCCTCCTCTCTTTCCAGTTGGACTTGGGGCCTTCCATCTTGGACGATGTGCTGGGAGTGATGGACAAAGACTGGGACAGCATCAGAGGGCAGGAACAGGAACCGCTGAGGGTCGAAAGCTCCAGCCCAAAGGGGCACCTCCATCGCGGTGGTGAAGAAGACGTGGAGGAGCAGGAGGAGGAAGAAGAGGAGGAGGAGGAGGACGAAGGGCAGGGCTACAGTTTTGAGGATGAACAGGATGAAGAGATTGGACTATAGGAAAGAAGAAGGGTGGTATTGGTTTTGATCGCTTTGGTTTCTCTAGCTGCCCCCCACCCCAGCACTCCTCTTGCCCTCTTTTTGGCAGAATTTCTCAGCCCCTCTGATGTGAGTTGGTCTATGGGCCAAATGTTGTCTTCAGATGACTGCTGGTTGACCCATCCCAAAGAGCCACTGATCTCAAATCTCTCATGGTTGCGTTCAAGAGGAAAATGGACAGGGGCAGGCAGGCAGGCTGCACCTCCAGTGTGATTCTTGCTGTCTCCCTTCTCTTGTGAGAGAAAAGCACTGTGCAACTGAGAAACGCACACACTGACCAATTATTGTACTCTCCCTAGGCATGGGATGATACAGATATTTTGATGCACTAAAAAATGCATCTTGGTTATAAGGCGTCTCAGAATCCAAGGTTGTGCACCACTGATACCATCTTTGTCTCACCTTCCACTTCTCTGTTGTTTTAGGCAACCATCCATCAGGCTACCTTGCCAAGGACGATTCCATCTCCTGCGCTTGTACTGTTGGTTTCTGTCTCTAAACCTGAAACTGTTTTTTGAGAGTGCTGGAAGGACAGGCAGGTTGGAAATAAATTGGCATGTTAATGGAAGGATGGAGGGAATGAGGATGCACAGATATTCTGATGTACCTGTCCAGCTATTTAGCCAATAATTATATTGTTCTATTACCCCACTAGCATATTTAGCAGTGTGAAGTTATCCCTGTTTATTTGCTGCCCACCATTTGCTTTTCATCTCATCCACTCCTTGACCCTGGTGCTTTTCTGTCTGTCCAGATACCCATTCACTGGCTACTTCTTTCTCTTCATTCAGTACATCAGTGTATCTGTATATCCAGCAGCAGCAGGACTGACAAAACTGCAAGGCCTCCCTGATAATTGGGGAGAGTGAAGAGGCTGCTTCAGGCAGCAGATGCTGAGAGACAGAAGCTGCAGGCCTTGGCTATTCCTCCTGAGCCAGCAGACATCCCCCCCTGTGTTGCCATGTGACCTGCCCTGAGCGCCTTAATCCAGCTTGTTCCCTTGGGGTGGTGAAGGATCCCATCTCATCATCAGCACCGAAGTAGAAATAAACTGCAAGTCAAGTTGGCTTCTGTACGGGGTGGAGTGGAGCCGCCAATGTTTGCCTCAGCAAAGGAAGACAATGTAGGGCAAGGCTTCCCAAACTTGGATTCTCTAGCTGTTTTTTTGGGCTACAACTCCCATCATCCCTAGCTAGCAGGACCAGTGTTGAGGGATGATGGGAACTAGTCCAAAAAGAAGCTGGAGACCCAAGTTTGGGGAACTCTGATGTAGGGGAAGGAAGACAATGGAAGCTGTTGGAGAGGAAGTTGAGGGCAATGGGTCTGCTGTTTAAGGTGAAAGAAAGCAGAGGAGCTTTCTCACCTCCTGTCTCAAAGGGCCAGTCAAGAAATTATGGGATGGATGAAGGAAAGAGGAATGACTTGGGCGTAATGTGAACTGATGGTTGAGCAAAAGTGTAAACAATTTACAGTTCTTGGAATTGTTGGGCAATTCACTTAGTCACTGATGGTGGCTGTAACAATTGCCTGCAGGCAACTAAGCAGAAATGAGTTTCTGATGGTAAGAAAGGTGTGGGTTCCCAACCCCCCACCTCACCCCATTCTTCAGTCGACCAAAGTACCAAAATGACTAACAAAGATACATGTGGGAAAGTGTGTTTACATTCTCTGTGTATATCTGTGCACGCGCACACGTCTCATTAGTAGCTTTTTGTAAACCTATTTGCCAATGGCCAAACTGGGAAATGCACAACTGAAAAAATAGCACACAATCTTTTATTTTTTATTTTTTTCGGTTGTTGCCGTTTAAAGCTATAATGGGATCAGGGTTGCATCAACAGATCACCTCTCAATCAAACATGAACTGGACAGCCTTCTAAATTAGGTGCTTTAAAAGCTGGATACAATTTAGTGGGCTAGAGAGGATAATAACTGGAGGGGAATCTACTGGCTGATACTGACAGACCTTTTTAAAAAAATTAAAAAACCCCACAACAAATCAAAAGGCCAGATCCCCAACCATCCCCTAATCATCTGTCCTTTCATCCCTCTGTTAAAAATAACATTCTTATAGATGTTCTTGCCTTCCTAAACTCTCCTGCATGGATATTGTTGGCAGAAATCTGTTTTAATTTGTGTCTTGTGTCTTGTCTCCTGAGCACAATATCAGCTGGTCTGTGGTGAGAAGTTAAGCTACCCCTTTACCAAATCACCAGTTGTCTCTCTTGTTCTGTCTTTCCCACGTCTTCCTCTGGTGCCAACGACGACCTTTTCTTCGTAAGCTTGCTAATCCATCATCAAACTCCTGTTACAGTGAGATAAATAACGCAGCAAGACAGCTTTAAGAGCTGGGAAACGATTGCTTTTTTATTTCCCTAGGTGCTTGCGGGTGTTTGTTTCTTACTGTGTAACTTTTGCCAGATTCGTTAATCACAGTTGAAAAGGTGTAACTGGATTGTACGGTGCCCTTCTATGCAGAGTTCTTAACCTGCTGGGACAAAATCGGTAGTTTGCATTGCCCCAATGGGATTTTGCCGCTTCTTAATCTTCCCACATAATGGGGACAAGGCTCCACTGTGTCAGTAAGAAAACTGGATGGTGGTGGCTTGTACGTTCTCACTGTCAACTCTGGGGCTAATAGCTCGTATCTCTGGATGGCCCTCTTCGGGTGACATTTTTTCCTACACAGATCTCTGTGCTCTTGTTAGTGAAATGGTGATTTTGAAAGAAGTAGGAATAGATGGGCTGTTCTTTAATATCACCACCATGAACTGCACTTGTTATGGCGTTTTCTTGCCATGTGCGGTGATAAGATTTGCTTTTTAATGTATACAGCAGACCTACAACTTATTCCGGGGATCGTGCATAAACCGAAAATCACACATAGTCAAAACACATTGGGTGCAATAGCTGGTGGAATTGCCAAAGTTCCCCCCACCAATGCCTCCCTTTTAACATCTTTCCCCACCAAGTGCATAAAAGAAAGGGGGGGGAGCAAGTTAAATGTGCATAAATTGCAGGTCTAGTGTACTGCATCTCCCAGCAAGGAGCTACTTTAAAAGGGGAAGGGATGATTGTGAGGCTGGGGCTCATTGCCACATAATTGGTGTGCAATGTGGTCTTTTGGTGGATGGTGAGGGGGAACCTAGAGCTATCCAAGCCTCTCCATCTGGGAAAGGAGGGGAGGTTTTAATATGTTAAGGAGCTCAAAGGAATTCAGTTGAGTTTCCCAGAAACTGAGTAGAGTCGAGTCAGTCGGGAGGGAAGCTCCGATCCCCTAGGATGTCTAGACAGAGAAGTGCAATTTCTGGCCCACCACATGTTTGGACTCTGGCATCATGGCCAGAGAAAATGGGAGTTGTAGTTCAGTAACATCTGGAGGGCCGCCAGTTCCCACTCAGTCTAAAACGCTCAGTCTCTGCTGGAGTTGTTTTGGGGTGAGGAGGTAGAGGACCCATAATCAGACCCTCAAGCTCCACCTCCTTCTCTTGAAAATCTTAGCCATATAATGCCCCACAGTGGCCACCTAAAACCAGAATCTGAGGTCTGTCACAGAAAGCAGAGGGTAGAATCCCCATGACCCTCTATAATGAGCTCTGACTGCTTGGGTTTGCTGGGTGCAATCTGCAGCCGCCATTTATGGGGGCTGCTCAAACACATTGGTCTTCAGTGAATATGCACTGGGACCCAAAAGAGCAGTGGTTTGCTGGAGGAGGAGGAGGAGGAGGCAAGTAGAAAGATGGGTGGGGTGGAAAAGAAGGGGGAGAGAGGGGGGAAGTATATCTACGCTACCATCTAATAAATTTATTCCAAAGCTTGTTTCACTTCAATAGCTTCCCCACTCCCCAATCCTGGCAACTGTAATAAAGTGTTGATTGATTGTTGTTTTGTGTGTGAGGGGGGAATTACCTCTGTAGGACTTCTCTACCCAACACCATGTACACTACAACTCCCAGGGGCTCCCTGGGGAAAAGGAACTACTGTTAAACCACCCTATCTGCAATGTGGATTTGCTCCAGAGAGAGAAGGGGGGTCGTGCACATCCTGAAAATTGCGCAGGACAAAGCGAAAGCTGGGACCAGAGTTGGAGAAGGTTGTGGTTGTAGGAGACCGAGGAGCCTTTTAATTGGAGAGCTGGAATTCCTGTGGATTCCTTCTCTGAAGGGAGTGGGCAGTTCATTGGTTTTAAAATATGTTTCCTGTTTTATGCCTTAACTTATTGCGTAACCTCAAGTTGTTGTCCTCTCTCACTGTGGACTCTCTCTCTTTTTTTAAAAAAGGGAAATGTGAAAAATGATTTCCTGCAGTGACCGTGTGTCTCTTGATATATATATATATATATATATATATATATATATATATGTCATTCTAAGCATGCATGAACAAGGTCCAGCCACAGACTGCAAGAGAGATGAGGGCTGGACTCTGATCTCTGTTCCCTTTGGGAGGGCAAAAGCTTTCGTTGTTATCCTCATTTATTCACCCCACCCCCCCAGATCTAAGCCTGAACTCTAGGTCATAGATGTCGCTGCCTTTTCACAATCCCTTTGATCAAGGCAGCAAGAGGGTTCTATATGTACATTTATTATTTTATAATAGCTCATTTTATGGATTCCTGTGTAAGAAAATGTCTATGTAGCATCTCCCCCTTCTCAAAATCATGTTAATTTTTATCCTACGTAGCAGAATATTTGTACAGCGACCAAAGTGTTTGATATCTCTTGTAATTAAAAGCAAACTAGTTTCGGATATTTTTCTCAGTCCTTCCCTCAATCCCTCTTCACGATCACAGTTCCCTACAGCACTGGTTGTTGGTTGGTCAATGTGGGTTGGGTCCAGCACAGCAAGTTGATTCATTAAATTTTAATACCTTACTACATATATATTTTTGTAAACTCCTTCGAGATTCTCTTACAACCAAGCGGTATATAAATTTTGTTAAACAGATAGCATTTCCATGGGGATTGCACCAACTGCTGTTTGCCGGCACAATCCAATGTGGGTTGCCTACCAATGGGCGTATCCAGACAATTACAGCTGATCGAGTTAATTACTGTGCTTCCATTTTAGTTATCTATGCATATACGCCCTTAGCTGCAGCATTTAGCCATTGCAAAAATTGATTAGATCTCATTGTTCAAATGAGATCTAACCCTTTCACTGAAAGAATATATGGCTCTGCCTTAGGCTGACCCAGATTGGTGTTCCATCTAGTCCAAATCTCTCTACCCTAAGTGGCACCTGTGCTCCAAGGCCTCAGGAGGAGAGGGGTCTTTCTCTAGCCTGTTACACCCCCAAAAAAAACCTCCTTTTTAAACTGGTGACATCAAGGAGTGAACCTGGAACCCTATGGGGATGTAGAACTGGAGCTCTGGCAGTGAGTTAATGTTATTGCTCCCATCTTTGCCAGCCATCTTCTTCCTTAGGTCTAGCATGGCACACAGGGTATTTTGCCCCTATTTATCTCTTGTCTTCCATCTGTTCACAAGGCAAGGTGATGTGGTGAGGACTCGGAAGTGGGAAGACTTCGAAAGCGTCTACAGTGATCTTCAGTTGTGCAACCTTATCTAAATTGGAGCGCTATCTGAACATGCATGGCAGGAAGGTTTGTTTTGTTTTGTTTTAATGCATTTTACTCAGGGGCAACGTGCCTCTTAATTAACATTTCCTCCTGTTTCATCTTGGCGCTGCTATCCTGCAGCATCTTAGAAGCGTTCTTTAGGAAGAGTTAAGCAGAACTGGTGGCAAAGAGAGTAAAAGATAAAGGGACCCCTGACCATTAGGTCCAGTCGTGGCCGACTCTGGGGTTGCGGTGCTCATCTCGCTTTACTGGCTGAGGGAGCCAGCGTACAGCTTCCGGGTCATGTGGCCAGCATGACTAAGCCGCTTCTGGCGAACCAGAGCAGCGCACGGAATCGCCGTTTACCTTCCCGCCGGACGTGCTTTCGAACTGCTAGGTTGGCAGGAGCAGGGACCGAGCAACGGGAGCTCACCCCGTAGCGGGGATTCAAACCACCAACCTTCTGATTGGTAAGCCCTAGGCTCTGTGGTTTAACCCACAGCGCCACCTGCATCCCTTGGCAAAGAGAGAGAGAGCTGTAAAAAAAAGAACTTATTCAGAAAAATATAGCAAAAAAAGCCAGTTCTATCTCTTCGTCACATGTTGGTGTGACCAAGGAAGCAAACACAATGTAGGGCTAGGCATATAGGAAAAGACAGTTCTCAGTAGTGTTTGTTTCGGTTCTATTGTAGGAAGTAGAAGTGCTGAAACAGAGAGAGAGAGAGAGAGAGAGAGAGAGAGAGAAGCGCACACATGGCACAAATCTATGGGGCTGAAGGCAGTTGAGGCCACCAACTGGTTGAAGCTACAGCAGGTTTGGGACTCTTAAGTGCCTGGATGGGTGGCCAGCCGGTAACCACCTTGGGTTTCATGACAGAAGAAAGGCAGGATATGCATGTATGAAGATAAATAAAACCTGTTTTCTCAGCACTGAACCAGATCACCAGAGGCATGTTAAACCCCCTCTTCCCTCTGCCAGGGATACCTTTTTACTTTTCTCTCCCATAGGAGAGGATGTGCTGCACTGGGGGGCATTGGGGCATAGTCCTCATGCAATGCGTATGGTATACCGCAGAGCTACACCCCCCAAATAAGCACAGTTTAAAGATAAATACTCTTATCAGGGCAGGGACCTTGCAGTTCCCAAACACACAGGGTCAGGGTGCCACAGTCTTCCCCACTATTGTATTTCTATTTAACTTAACAGTCGTTTCTAGTCTTTCATCTGTGTACATATAAATCAGCATATGCATTTTTTTAAAAAATGCAAATATGCCAACTTTTCCTTCTTTTTGTCAGGGGGAGGCTATGTGTGAGTGGCCACTTAACTCCTGTCTGTTTCTCATTCCACTTTGCTGGCCTAACAGAAATATTTACATGTTTACCACACAGATATTTATATCTTCATCTTAATGTTTCTGGAATCTGGGCATATCAAGTTATCATCTGGGGCAGAAAACCCCTGCAAGCGTTTCTTCCCCCCCAGCAGTAACAATCCACATTTATTTACTATTTAGAAAACAATTTGCTGCCCTGTCATTGCTGCCTGAGACGGCTGCCAGAATGCTCTCAAATAAGAAGACGAAGTCGTCTAGAACGCTTATTGCAAGTTTTGCGAGGGGCCAAGTTTTGCATTGAGCCCAGCAAAACGGTGCACCCTCTGCAGCTTGCTGACGCTGCGTTTTAGCTTTCGCCACAGACCAAGGAAAGTCAGAGGCTCTTCTTTTCCAGCAATGGGGACCGGATCAAAGTGAAAGCATTTGTGGACAATGCTCCCTACCCCCAGTCCCCTCCTCCTTGCCCGCCAGTAGACTCCAGCTGTAACACATCTCTGGAGCCTTATCTAGGACTCTGGTGCCTCTGTTTGCTGGACGATCCCAGCTGTGAATTTCCTGCCAGGGGATAAACAGATCAGGGGCCTTCGCTGACACAATCCAGGCCTGACAGGATAAAGGAAACCATTGCAAAGGCAACTTGTGGAACACACCAGCTGGGAGATACATGGATGGGAGTCCAGCCGTCAAATTCCCTCTTCACACAGCCCCTCTCCAGTTGGTGGAAGTCTCATCCTGGGCTCAAAAATGCCTTACAGAAAATGTGTTTGCATTTTCCTCTAGAGGGTTCAGATGCAGCCCCTGATGCAGAATCCACACCATACATTAAAAAAACACTATAATGCCATAAGGGATATGGAGGGACGGGGCTCTAGTTTGCTAAAAGTGCTGGGAAGGAACTGTAGCTTCATTGACAGCAAAATGATTGGGAGATGTCTGCTCTGTGGTGGGGAGACTACAGTCCCCAAGGTTTTTTAGGGAGGATGTCCTTTGATGGATGGTGCATACAGAGCCGCCTCCTGTCTGATGAGTTCTACACTGGCAACCCTAAAACCAAGGAGGAAGTTGGTAGGCAGTGTCACCCCTTGGACTGGTTGAGATGGGCAGGGCAGGGTCTCACTTGCCCTAGGGAAGCAGCCTCCACTGTCTGGTTAAATGAAGCACTAGCGCCCCCCCCCCCCCGCCCTGCCCCACTGCACACTAATTCTACTCATGTAGCCCATTGCATTATCTATTGCACTTTGGTTACTGCATCCAGCTGCCATTCAGGTATTGGTAACTTAAACTGGTTGATCTGCAAGGTTACATACAGCTGCCTGGCAGGCTGCTAAACACAGGCCTGCAACAGGGTTTCTCCTAGTCTGTAAGTAAAGAGTGGGAAGGCAGGGATGGGAACCTGCAGTCCTAGCCCTGATTTCATGCATGTGGCAAGGGGAGGGTGGCAGAGAAAAAATGGGTGGAGAAAGAAGGGGAAAGGGTACATTCTTCCCCCACTTGGCTTGGATCCTGGTTGCTGCCAGCATGCAGCCATGGCAGATTACCCTGAGTGAGTGTGGCTTTTGACAGGGAAGTGGGGGGGGGCATTCAGTTAATGTCCTGCACCTGCATACAAAACTCACACCGCCCAAATACTGAATGGGTTCAGTTCTCTAGGACAGGGCACAGCAGGAGCAGGTGGGACCCAGTGTGCTTCACTTCCTTGCGAGTCACGTTAATTCATCTTAATTAATCCGGAATACGTGCCACTTCCAGCTCTGGGGCTAGAAAGCACTAATGCAGATTTTAGCCTCCGCTCTTCACCAAACAAAAGCGGGCACAGAGATTGGCACGGTTCAAGATTGGCATAAGGCGACCAGGTGACAAATCGGGTGTACAATGTAGAAGCGGGTTATTCTTGCCCCACATCCTCCGCGACAGGCCCCCCAACTCAGCCAGTAGTGGACAGCATATGCAATGGAAGCGTCAGCGGCATCGCACAACTGCTCTAGGGTGGCGCCATTTTGTCTTAAGTTGACGGTCTTAAGATGCACCTGTGTGTTGAGGGAGGAAGGACTGGCCCTGTCCAACAGGCAGTAATAATAATAATAAATAAAATTTTATTTACCGGTATATCCCGTCCTCTCCAGTTGAAGCCGGGCTCAGAGTAGAAGTGGCCAAAGGGCCTACGGGGCAGCAAAACAATGCCATCTCCCCATGGCAGCCCAGGCTCAAAAATACTCCTGGCTAATGGGGAAATCTTTCGAGATGGAACAGAGGTCCCCTCCTGGCCTTGGTAGTGCAGGTTCTGAGTACAGATGGGACTCCCTTTGCTCCTAGTTTCCCCCAGTCACTTCCCCTTTCCCCTCACATAACCCCTCGTAACCAAACAAAAGGATCCCTGAGGAAAGGAGAAGTGGCAGCCAGGAAAATCCCTGAAGGGGAAATGCAGCTAATTACAGCAAAATGGGAGCAGTTGTTTTGGGCCTGGGTATCTTCAGCCAAGGCCTAAAGCAGGGGTAACCAACGTGGTCATCCCTCGCCCCACAATGTGACAGGACTACAACTCCCATAATTCCTCCTGTTTGCTGGCCATGCTGGCTCAGGGGTTGATGGGAGGTGTAGTCCAACAACATCTGGAGAGCATCACTTGGTTACCTCCGGCCTAGTTGGTCCACGTTGGAGGATCCTTTGGTTAAGAGGGGGGGGGCACATTCAAGGCGCCCACCCTCCATGGCGGCAGGGTCCAGGGGGCTCTCCTCACTGGGTGTGACGTATGGCCCCTCTTTTATCACCTTGTGCGTTGCCACTCCTTGTGCCAACTTGGTTCAAGGCGGTGCTGTTTTCTTTAAAAGCAAACAAATATACAGGAGGTGCCAGGCCTCAAACCGGTCTGGGAACACCACCTGCCGCTTTTGTGAAACCTTTTTATCCTGAGTGTGGGAATTGGGTGTAATTACTCAAGGCTGAAGAAATGGCACTCTGCCCATGCTCGGGGGCACCTTCCTTCCTTCTCCCCCCCCCCCTTGCCGCCTCCTCTGCGCGCCAAGCTCGAGTCCCAGCGCAAATTAAACCCCGGTGAAAGTATTCGAGCCTGCGCGGCGCGTCTTCAAAATAAAAAGCTAAGGGAGGAAAGCGTGCGGCCTTCGCCCTCTGCTGGTTGTAGGTGCAAATGGTTGCAGCACTTTGCAAAAAAATAATGACAACAGAGAGGGATTGTGGGATCGCGAGCTTCCTTCTGTCCAGGAAGACGAGCCCGTTGCACGCGAGGAGGCGGCGGCGCTGAGCTGTTGCTCCTGGAAGCAGAGTCGGGGAGTGGCACACCCAGCCCACGAAGTCCCTGGAAGTCTGTCGGGCCACGGTAAGTGGTGTCTCGCCCCGTCCTTAACTCGCCTGTCGTTTCTTTCTTTCTTTCTTTTTTACTTAAGGCTCAGAAGAGGGTCGATTTAGGAGCTGCGAGACCTGGGTTCTAATCCTCCCACTGGGCCATGAAACTCACCGGTTGACGCTGGGCCAGTCGGTGCCTGCCTGTCCTCCTAACCTACCTCGCAGGGTTGTTGTGGGAATTAAGCGAGGGGGGGACTTAGGTTGATCACCTTGAGCGCGTGGGAGGGAAAGGTGGGATGCGCAGGTAGTAAATAAACAACAACAGCGAGCCGCATGCTGAGTCGATACAGGAGGAGCTTCCCATAAATGCCTTGCTTCATTCCATTAAGAGAGCTTCCAGACGAACGGGGCATTAAGGTAGTGCGGTTTTTTTTAGTGCAAATGCCCTCCCACCAGATGTCAAGGAAATAAACAACAATCTGACTTTTAGAAGACCTATGAAAGCAGCCCTGTTTAGGGAAGTTTTTAATGTTTGATGTTTTATCATGTTTTTAATATTCTGTTGGGAGCAGCACAGAGTGGCTGGGGGAAGGCAGCCAGATGTGTGGGGTATAAATAATAAATTATATTATTATTATATTATTATTCTGACCCACCAATCTCAGTCTGCCCTCAGCCAGCCTCCACTTGCCTTCTTTCTTCCTTAAACAGTCCAGCGCATGGCCCTGGCTTTAAGTTTGTTCCTCCTGCCCTTTGTAGAACTAAACCAGGAGGAGAAGGGGGGGGGGGGCTTGAATTAGTTGACTCCACCTGTCATTGTCTTGGTTTACAGCTGCTTTCCTTGTTTTCCACCCTACTAGCCTAAATGGACCCTGCTCTTCACCCGTGATCTCACACATTCCCGGTTTCTCTTTTCAATTCTGCCTCTTGCCAGCCACACGATTAACACACCTTGCTAGTATGTCTCAGGGCTGTTATTTTGCCCGTCCCTCTACTGTTACCATTCTGAGCATGCGCACAAGTGCTTCTGTCCCTGTGCATCACATCTTTTCCTTTCTTTTAAACAACCACCACCGGTATTTTCCAGGAAGAGCACAAGAGCAAACATTACCCAACCACATGGAGTGGTTATCTTGTTTCACAATGGACAAGATCACCTCCACCAGCCGCATCTCTCATATTATATTGCTCTTTTATTTTGATACTAATTGTAAGTAAGAAGCTTTGGGGGGTAAATCACTCTTGGTTGAATGTCAGCGTATAGATGTGATCATTAAATATATATGTAATAAAATTTAAATCTGATCTAAGAGTCTACTGAATGCAAGGTTTTGTGGGTGAGCAGTGTCGCACCTCCTCTTGTTTTTGAAGACTTACAGGCCCCTCCCCAGGTGTTGTTGTTTTAAGGTGGTTGTGGTGACTTTGAGGCAGAGAATCACTTCCTGGTTCAAGCCCCTACATTTCATAAGATACAACTAAGGGAGAGAGATTGCTTTCCAGTTGCTACATCCTGCAGAACCAATTGTCATCATCTTAGTTGATGTGTTTGACCACATTCCTTTCCCACCTAGTGTTCAAAGTTCACATGTATTTGCTCAGCCATCCACCTAACATGCCTGTAAATGCATGTCAATATTGCCTTCGTTGTGCTCACAGGTGCGGGTGGATTTAAACCAGACACTTCCTGGTTCATAATTCCAACTCTTCAGCAGCACCCTGTGCAAACTTGGTCCCTCATCTCACTCCCGTTTTTCAGGGACAGCATATCACTTCCCAGGCTCTGATTATTCCTTACAGCTACCCTCATGACCCACTATTGATATTGTCCCAGGAACAATGTGAGAACTGGTTACAGTAAAAATTGCGTCTTCTAAATAATTTTGTTTCTTCCACAGAGTGATTCCCACTTTTAGCTATGGCTGAACTGGTTCCCTCCCCTGAGGACTCTCCCACTGACCTCTGTTCTGATACCCCTGTGGAACCACTGGCGGCCCCCGATTCTCTTCCAGCTGAGCAATCCCTTGCCGAAATTGACCTACCTTGCCGCTTTTTCCTAGAAGGTCGTTGCCGCTTTGGTTCCCGCTGCCGGAACAGTCACCCTGGTGACATGGGAGCTGCTCCTCGTTCAGAAGACAGCGGATCCAACCGCAGTCGTTCTCCACAAGGCAAGAAGCCCCCCATGAAGACTGCGGAGGATGTTATCTCTCGCCTCCTCTGGGACCCCCAGCTGCCTGCTGAACATTTTTCTATTGGTTACCTGGATCGGTTCTTGGGGGTATTGGAAGAGCCTTTTGCTGCTTTCTCCTGGGAGGACCTGGCTTCAACCGGGCCTGGCGTGCTAGCTATCCCCAAACATAGGATCCACTATTTCAAATACAAGACTCGCGTGGTGTGGGACAAGGTAAGCCGCACAGACGAAGTCTTTGGGTCCACAGGAAGTGGGAGAACCATCTTGGAGGTGATGAAGGAAGTCGACGAGGCAGCCGGAACCACTGAGGAAAAGGTTCAGGACCATCCTTCAAATGGAGACAGAGAAAAGGGGGTGGGAGGTGTTGGACCAGGGGCAGCTAGAGGCAGCGGAGAAGAGGCGGTCAATGGTTCAGCCAGAGAAAAACAGGTGGCCGAGACAGTTGGCGGACAGGATGAGCTGGATAATTTGGATGCCTTCAGCATCACAAAGGAAAATGACCCAATAGTGGAAGAGGAGGAAAACGCGGCTTTGCAGAGCAGGAAGGTGGGACACCTTCTGCATCGCAAACAGCGTCCCACCCATTTCATAGCTATCCAAGTCACCAGTCGAGAGACCTGGGAAGCTGTGAAACTCTTCCAAGGCGCCCTCTCTGAGGTTCAGCCAGACCTAGAGGAGTTCTATACCCCTTTGCCTACTCTGCACATCACACTGTGTCTGCTGCACTTAGATACCTCGGAACACATTTGCAAAGCTGTTACGGCACTCCAGGAACTGCAAGCCAACAGCCAGCGCCTGCTGCCCCCCGCCTTGCTTCTCTCCTTCCACAAGGTTGAAGCTTTCCATTCTCGTGTGCTTTACTTGTCACCAGCACCTACGCCTGGGCTGGGATCACTGGCCCGGACTTTGGAGGATGCCTTTAACAAGAAGGGCTTGGCAATGATTCCTCCTCCGGACAAAGACAAGTTCCACTTGACCATGGTGAAGATCCCACGGGCAAAGGCAGATCTACGGTTGCCAGCAGATTCCTCATGGATTCCAACTATTAATGATTTAGGAACACAGGCTGTAGAGGCATTATGTTTGTGTGAGGTTGGAAAAGGTAGGCGGACTGATGGGTTTTACACCACGGTTCTGAAAATAGATCTATACTGAGAGGCAGGGGTGGCTTCTCGTTCTGCTGCTTGAGGCGAAACAGTAAGTTTTGCCATGCTACTGCTACCATGCACCCTTGATTTTGGGCAAGATTGTGTTGATTTCAGGCGAGATCTTACCTCAAATGGACAGGTTTTGTTCAAAACCTGTGCCAATGGCAATGGCACTTCTCTGCTGCTGGCAGAGGGCCAGATGGGACATGCATCTGAGGTAGCAGCACCACCCTGCCTTATGGCTGAGCTGCCTCTGCTGAGGCAATTGTTATCAAGCAGCAGGTAAGCATCTTTGCGGTCAAGATCCACTCTACAGAAGGGGGTATAACCCCGTAAATTGTATTATCGTGAACAGCAGGAACACAGCTAAGATGGTGAACTAGCCTTGAATAACCTGGGCTGGCTACCTACAGAAGGGATTTAAGAGGAAGGATACTATACTCATACTGCATTAAGCTATTTTGAGGCAACAGTAGGAACTATGGTGTCCTTTCCCCATTTATTCAGGCAAGGTACATCTGGTAGACTAGAGCATAAATACACTGGGGTACTGGGAGCTACAACTTCCATGTGAATGAGAACACCAAACTTGGACAACAGGGACACACAGTAGGGAAGTGGCTTGGATGACATGGCGTTTTTCCTCCCTTAGGTAACAAAATGAAGCAAGACTTTTGAATGCAGATAAACTTGTTCTGACCATTAGTCATGACCAAGACCTTTTGAGAAGAAAGTCACTCAACTGTGCACTTTTAGTTGTACTGATTTCAATGGATGTTTGTCATGACTAAATGGCAAGGACTGCAGGCCACTGTCCCTCTACTGTACCATGTAAGGAGGAAATCTGCAAACATTGCAGCTGACTAGCTCAGAAAGGCTGTAGGCTCCTATGTTCCTCTAACAACCTCCTCCTCTCTCCCCTGTCCCAACACTTTGTATGGTAGCTTTTGCAGGTCAGCAAAACTAAACACATCACATGCCTGTTACTTTCTGGGGGGCAGATGAAAACAAGCTAGAATCTCCCTTTGCATGTGTTCTGTTCCTGTGTTTTGTTCCTAGAGACTGCCCCCCTGTTAAATTTTAGACACCAACACAGATTTTTGTTTTCAAAAATTTGCTTTAATCAGTTGGAAAAAGATTCAGAGGTTTCTGTAAAGGAAAAAGGAATCTTTGAAAAATCCAGCCCAAGCCAAAACATCCCAAAATTACACATGTTCAAAAATAAAAAGAGAAAGAAAAGAGGAATTAGAGCAAAGGAGAAAAGGAGAGAGGGTGGGGAAGGGATTATGAGAAGGCTAGAGACTAAGGGTGGGAAAGAAGGGGGGGAGAGAGAGAGAAATGGGGAAGGGAGAAAGACAATTGGACAATCTTTCAAAACTTTAAACAAAATTGAAACAATGTGAAGGAAGAAAAGTGGAAATGGGGTGGTGCATTTTCTGAGTTTACCTGTAAAGAACTGAGGACAGAGGGAGAAAAATAAATAAATCAATTTAAAAAAAACTGAGCATGACAACTCCAGAACACAATAGAAAAGGAGGAGATTGCAAGGATCATCTTGTGTGTTGATTCAATTCCTCTGTGGTTCCTTCTTACTGCCTTGATTGATTCTCTTTACGTCGCCACATCCACAATGAGGTGCAATTTACAAAGAAGTCTTTTGCATTCTCTGCACAGGAAAAAGTCACTGAAACTGGTAGGAAACACGCCAAGGCAGGCTTTGCTTTGCTCTTCCCCCTCAGGCTGGTTTTTTGATCGGCTGGAGAGGTGGCATCTCTCTTTCTCCCTCTCATGCTCTTTTGGAGCCAGGCCGTAGCTCGGAAGAGGAAAAAACTGAGACAGCGTTAGTTTTTGAGGAGCACAATGGAGAACACAAAATGCGCACACAAAACAACCTGGATTTTTCATCTTCAGAGAAAACCATCTGTTAAACTCATCATTATAAAAGTAGAAAAGCACAGATATTTTTTTTCCTCTTAGAAAACAAAGAGTTTTCCTAGCATTATTTACAACTTGTAGCTTCTGTACAAAATCATCATTCCACATATTTACACAAGGGAACCGTTAGTTCTCATGTACCGCTGACTTCTCAAGTGTTTTCCCAGGTGGAATCTAGATGAAATTACGCCTCTGTAAAGATACTCGTGTGGTTTTAGAAAAATCTGGACAAAGGGATCCCCTGTAGCTTAGGGAGAAATCATTCTAGCTTCCTGAACACTCTTGTGAGGGTGAAGGGACGGCAACACAAGGAGACAGCAGTTAATTCCGCATCTCCCAGTGATTCACTTAGAGATCCCTGTTTCTTTCCCCAACCCTTTATCTCAGCCATTTCTGACCAATGAGTGATGGGTGGGGTCTTGCAGCTATGGTCTCTCATGCATCTTGACACGAGGGGAAGAAAAAAACAGATGATCATAAACTGATGCTCACGTATTCCCCAGCACCTCCCTACCCCACTGCTGGCAAAAAACACAATCGTTAGACTGAACTCTCTGCTCTTCTCCGTTCCTGGTGGTCTCTGACGCCATCCGATGTCCTTGGATCTTACCCCTCTTCGCTCCGTGTGCGGCGTGGACAGCGGGAGAGGCGCAGCACAGCTAGGTTCCGGCATGCCCACAGCAGCCAACTGAATCTGGTTTTATATATGTATAAATATATATACATATGTACATAGGTTAAAAACGGGGCAGGGCGGGGAAGTGGGCCTTATACTTTCAGAAATTGGCCAGGACCGCCAAGCTCTGCTTGCAGTCAATCTTGGTGGCGTCGGGACTAGTATACACAAGGGACAGAGCTGCGAGGAAGGCTTGGCACTCCTCCTCGCTCTCGAAGGCCAGCTCTGACACAACGTAGGAGACTGGAAGCACCGGGCGGAAACTGAGGGAGATAAAAAGAGACACTGGTGAATGGGAAAAGGCAGCAGATGAAATCCAGGCTAAGACGACAAGCAGAATCCTGCCCCTAAGTATGCAATTAGTTACCGTTAGCTACCCTGGCAACGTGAAGAAACTGCACTTGAGAGCATTTCGTATTTAAGCTCCTAGCCCTCGTGGTTGTTTTTAAGGAGAGTTTGAAAAGAAGGGGTCCATGTGGGATGGGCTTTCTTTCAATGTGCTGCTTAATTTGTGAAGAGGAGACAGAGTTCAGCTGGCGTGAAGTTGAGTGTGTGTACAGAATTACGAAGATATGCAATAACTGAGGCATTCTATCCTTGCTCAGAAGCACATTCAGGAGGCCTGCAGGTTATAGTAAGTCCTAAGCTATGAATGACAAACAAAAACTAAACCTACCCCTACACCCCAATGCAATGGTAATAAGCATACAGAGAGGCAACTAGCTACACCCAAGGCAGGGAGGAAAGAGTCATCCAGACTGTACTGGTAAATAAATAGCAAGTTAGTGATGAAGCGCCCACACATCCTGAAAATGCAGAATAGTCAGGACTGGCATTGGGCAGGTATCAGCTCTCCTCCAAGTGGAAGGAAAAGCTTAGGGAAATGTACACAGCTGTGCCTGTGGAGCAAGTGGGAGAAGAAACCCACTTCAGAGAACTCTCCTACAACAAAGTAGAATTGACTTTATATTGTACCATAAGGGTGACACTGCAGAAAGAGATCTTGGGAAACGGGGCAGGAAAGAGTATGCTATGACAAAACATACTAACTTGCTGTTCTAAGGAATCCTATTAGTCGTTCACAACCTTGCACATAATTAAAATTTGCTCCTTCAATTCCCTAAAAATATATATAAGGACAAAGCAACTGCTCTACCCTCAAGTGCTGCACTGCATTCTTGCCCTCTTAGCATCTTTTACTAGGCACGGCCACCTTGTAAGTCCTCCATTTATTTTTGCTTCCTATCTTTTGGGTAAAGGTAAAGGTACCCCTGACCGTTAGGTCCAGTCGCAGACGACTCTTGAGGTTGCAGCACTCCTCTCGCTCTATAGGCCGAGGGAGCTGGCGTTTGTCTGCAGACAGCTTCGGGGTCATGTGGCCAGCAGGACTAAGCTGCTTCTGGCGAACCAGAGCAGCACACAGAAACGCTGTTTAATTTCCCGCCGGAGCGGTACCTATTTATCTACTGGCACTTTGACGTGCTTTCGAACTGCTAGGTTGGCAGGAGAAGGGACTGAACAATGGGCGCTCACCCCGTAGCGGGGATTCGAACCACCAACCTTCTGATTGGCAAGCCCTAGGCTCAGTGGTTTAGACCACAGCGCCACTTCTGGACTAATGGGCAGTTACCACTGCCACTAATTACCACAGTGCTTTGTAAGCTTTTGGACCTGACAACCATTTAATTAATTCCCTGTAGACAGAGACCCCCCTGGCACTTTAAAGGCTTGTGGTGTAAACTGAAGGAGCATGCAAAGCGTATGTGAACACAGATACCACCCATCTATGCAAGCCCCTTTTTCAGTGCAATGCACACTCGGATTTTCTTTCCTATCAGGATGCAATAAGGCTGCATCCCACTCAAAGCAACAGTGTGTAGATTGTTGGCATCCATGCTCAGATGCACATCCAAGTAAGGACCAGAGTTTCCAGTTCCAACAATGATAGCTATGCAAGCGGCTGCCTTCTTGTGCAGCTCTCTTTATCTGAACCAGGGCAGGCACTATTCCTTACCCTGCCTCCAACCCTCTTCAAGTATGGGATGAAGCAGCAGCAACAAAATTAAATCTCACAGTTTTGCTCCTGTAATTATTATTTCTTTCCCATACACCAATTTTGTTTTTTTGTCTGGGGCAACGGCTATTTATTGCTTCTTGTGCCCAAATAAAATCTGAATGCTGTATTTCCTGAATCAAGTAAAAATAAGACGAGTACTTCCTTCAGCTGTTAAGTTTATGTTTCTTAAGTGAATCCAAACAGCCCTGGTGGGTCCTCAACCTGGTCCCAGTTTCACAGCCAAACTGCTATTTAAAACCCAAGGGATCAATAGTGGCGTAAGCCATCTTCCTACTTACCTGTGAAGGACATGGCCCTCTAAGCTACAGTTGCAGAAACACAACCCCCTTTTACCCGCCTCTAGCTACAGGGGACTTAAGTCTCCCTCTTTGCTCCACAAGGGAGTTGGGGCAGAGGGGAGAGGCAGGAGAAGGGTGCAAGTGTGAGTCATCTTCCCAGCCCTGACCCCAGGAGTGTCTGGTTTGACTTCACATACGTTTTGATCATGGCTTTGAGGGCCGTTTTCCTCTCTCGCTCAGCAAACTTGTCAATGAGGTAGCCGGACATGCAGGGTGCCTGGCGGTACAGGCAGAAGAAGCGGTGGTAATTGGACAGGGCCCAGGCAGCCCGCAAGGCGAGCGCATGTGCCACACAGGGGTCCGCTTTCATCTCTTTCGTCAAATACGCCAGCTCTGTAGTGATGTCTGGAGGGAAGAAAACAGAGTCATCAAGACTCATTCTCATGCTATAACCTTCCCCGCCCCCATTTGCTTGCTCTCAAATGCCCATTATCTTTTTTTTTTTTTAATATTTTATTAAGGATTTTCTTGTTTTACAGAGGTAAGTGCATTTATGCCTACATTTAAGCTTGCTTGGCTTGGCACAGTCTATTAACACAGTTGGTCAAGAATTTAAGCTCTTCTTTCTCTATAGTCTGGAGCCTTTATCTACTTTACAGTCTTTTGAAAGCAATATGCTTGACATCCTTCTAGGACTGGCATAGAACACTAGCCTTTGCAGGGGCAGGCTGTGGGAAAGAGAGGCGCGGGGGCTGGGAATTCTTTATGGGTCTCACACTACAGTCCAATGTGTAGTGACTGCATCTTCTGCCTACAGGCATAGTGGCTACAAGGACACAAATGCCACGGGCAAAATGCCACAAAAACGGGATCCCCAAGTGCCAGAGAAACTCGGCAGACTAGCCTTGAACTACCAGAGACTCCTGCATCCCCTTCCCTTCAAGAAAAATGTGCTAAACAGCAAAGCACAGGAATTGGTTTTCTAATTGCAATTAACAAGTAACATGGGCAGCCTCACCACAAAACTGCTGCAGGGTCAATTCAGATTAAGCTATGACCATACAGGTCTTCCTCTCCACCCATGCACACCTCCCTTCCCCAGCCCCAGCACTCACCCCCTGAGTTTTTTGTGAAAATGTAATAGAGGATGCGGTAAGCAGTGAATTCTCCAACATTCCCAGGGAGGTTCTCCGCATAGAGTGACTTCAGCTGTGTCTGGCACTGGTTGAACTCCTCATGATCACCCTAGAGAAGATACTCCCATTATTATGGAACTGTTTCAAGTTGCCACACACCCCTCCCGCTCCTAGAGCCAGATACAAACTTGGCAGTCGTGTGCTCCCTTCACCAAGCCAGAAAGGCTCTGTGCCTTCCCTGAATTAGCACCGCCCTCCTCCAGTGTAATGTGTGAATGGACCCTTAATCCTCACAGGTTCTCTCATCTGGCTAGTGTAAGAGAGAGAAACTCTTTGTGCCACAAGGGCTACCTGAGTTGGGAACTCTGACACACCTGCACCTCCCTCCCTCAAGTTCTGCATACAGCAAGTTCTAGATATAATTCAGTTTACTAATATTTTATGAAACAAACTGGGAAACAATCAGTATGTGATAGGTGAAGGAGATAGGAAAATGGTAGAGGATAGACCAGGGGTTATAATGTTTTGGGGATCTTGGGCACACCTGCAAACTGGAGACTGCCATGGGCACCCCACCTGCACAACATTTCTCCTCTCCCCAGCTGTAAACCTCCACCTGCCCCCTGACCCACAATTCTATGTGAAAAAGGCTTCTATTGGCTCACTAAGGATTCTTTCAAACCTGATTTTGGGGTGAGGGAGCAGAGGATAGGACCCTGTGGGGGCCAGAGAAGGTCTCTGAGGATACATGTGTAATCATGAGCACTAAGCTGGCAACACATTAACTAGGAGAACAAGGCACCTATGTCCTTCCCCAAGGCATCTTCTTGTTTTTAAATAGGTGCAAGAAACTACAGGCAGATTTATAAAGTTCTCCATGGTTACAAAGTGACATACACTGATTTTTTTTCCTTACTAAAATGCAAAGGGAAAAGCAAGGATTCTCCAGTTTGAGAATACCTTGGTGCATCTGACAAAGGGTGGTAGCCACTAAAGCTCTTCTTTACTGAGAAGGGCAAGCAACACATTTCCTGGGACATGGTTTGAAGAAATGCCATGAAGCCATCTTGTTGAAGCTAATTAGTTCTGGGTTGGGTGATTGCTTTGACCTAAAGGTTATGTACATGGTTCTCCCACCTTTTTTCCTCATAGCAACCATGTGAGGTAGGCTAGGCTACAAGACGGTGGTTGGCCTAAGATAACCCAGTGAGCTTCATGACCAAGGAAGGATCTGAACCTGGATCTCCCCCGTTCTAGCTGTGACATCCCATTGGCTCTTACCTTCTCCAGTGCTATCCTGGCATGGGTTTCATAGACCTCCACAGTGAATTCTGTACGAATTCCCTGAACCTAAGCAGGGCAAGAGAGAGGGTTAGCAAGCAGTTATAGGACAGTAAGTATTTATATATTCATTAAAGGCTGAATTCCTTTCTGTTTTCCCACAGTGAAAGGAAGGTTTGGAATATACGTGGATAAATGAAGTGCAGGCTGCTTCTGAAGCTATCAAATTTAGGAGACATGTTGCAGCCTCCTGCAATGGGTGGAGAGACTTTGTTGGCCATAGATAAAATGCTCTCCTAACACCGCCCCTTGGCAAATAGAAGTTTCTACAAGGCATTGATGCCAACCTGATCGTCCCTTCCTTGTTCTTGCTTGATTTACGGATACGGGCAGTAACCAAATCAGAAGCATAAAAGTGTTCCGATAACTCAAATGAAGCAAGCCAGCTCGAAAGCCCAGTTATTTTAACACAACTCGAAAGATAATATAGATCATCTGTGCCACAAGCAGCAGAAGACCAAGGTGTACCAAACCCTACATTAAAAATAGCCTTTAAACCTGCTGCATCGTATGAAACTTGCATTTTAAAAAACTTTTCTAAAAGCTTTTATCTTGTGTTACAGTACCTCCTGCTGACAACTCTAATACGGCTCCCCCAAATAATTTATCTCCTTCGCTGCCTGCCCCCAAAAGTAACCATCAACCCAAGTTAGAACTTGGAAAGCTACAAAAGCTACATTTAAAAAAAAAAAAGTTGGACCTTTTTGGACTAGCTTTACTGTACTATTGATGCCACCTGCTCCTGTGGAAGCTCTAGAGGTGACGCAAGGCCCTTTGGTGAAAGCAGCTCCCACATGATTATAGAAAGCGGCAGGCCTGTGTCACCTCGGGGGGCTTCCAGAGTGGCATTCGGAGTTTACCTTGGCTGTTCACATAGCTTCAAACAGGTGTTTCCTTTCTTAGTACTTAATAACGAGAAAACAGCCTATGGCAGAAGGCTAACATGAATAAATTGCTATTAGCTGTTGCTCCACCTATGTCAGAGCTGCTCAACCCATAAAGTAACACAGCAGTTCACAAAGGGCACATGTCTTAAAAGCCATAGGAACACAAAAAGTTGCCTAATTTAAGTGCTCCTTACACAAGTAAAGGTACGGCCAAGTACAGAACCAGGGAAACACTCATAAACATTGAACTGCAGAAACACAGCTTGTCTTGCACAGAACTGGGTTGACCTCTGTGACTTGCATAAATTGCACACTTCCAAGGCCCAAGCAACAGTCCAGCTATTTGCAGAAAGCTGCTCTTTCCACCTCTGGTTTCTGATAATTTCACTAAAAATTTCATTGCCAGCACTTCCAGATCCAGTTTTATAAAAAAGAGAAGCAGAATCTCAGGACACCAAACTGTATTCGGTACCAGGTTTCATGCTTGCACCAAAAAAACCCCCCACAAAAAACCTACAAATACACATGTACTAATCAGGAGACATGGCACCCGTTATGGAGAATTCAAATGCATCAATTCCCTTGCCAAAATAACTGGTAATTACAAGTTCTGTTGGCAAGAAGCAAGTCAATAGATGAAGACCTCTTGTAGAGACAAGTCTATTACAGACATGGCAAAACCCTCCACCCTCACCAACTCTTGCCATTCAGTGCCTCAGGAAAGCTTACAGTGAGATCTTGCCGTATGGATTTCATCTGTTCACAAGCATATGCATAATCTTGCTTCTCTTTCCAGTGAGATTTCACCATGGTCAATGATTTTTTAAGCACCTGGGAGAAATATAAAATAAAAGGTTAAGTTAAAGAGACTTCTGCCAAGCATTAGCTGACAAAGCTGCTCAGCCTTGGAGAAACACCTTTGGAATAGGAGCGGGTAGGATGCTGAGTGGTGGCTGAGTGAGAAAGCAATGGCTATTGCTAACAAGGCTGCAGCACCTGGCACCACTGAGTTTTAATACAGGGTTCCCCCCATTCCCAGGCCAGCATGCTTCTTCCAAGCCTAATTTTAGGAAGGGGAGGAGCCCCTGTGAGCACCAGGAAAAGCTTCTGCAGGCACAACAGCTGCCCCTTATCTTTCTATCAGTGGCCGTTGCCCATAAGCGAACACAGAAAGGTAATATGTCCAGGTGGAACAGCAGGAAGGCACAAGGTAAGTTCTTGGAGAAGACTCCACTGCCTAGGGTTACTCACAGACACAGGCCGGACAGTAGAGGGGTCCGGTGCACAAGTGAGACGCAGGTAATGTTTGGTGATCTCCTGGCAGGTGCCCACAATTTTCAGTTCGTTCCAGTCGAGTCCATCAGAGCCAGTGCTGTCAAGGCTATTGATCTGCAAAATGAGGGGCTCCAGGCGCAGTTTTTTGAAAAGGCTCGCATGCTGGAAGCGGGCTGCCCGCCGCTCCTTCTTGAACTCTTTCTCAGGATCTTCATAGTCCATGGTGTTGCGCTTCCGGTTGCGCTTGGAAGGGCCCTGATCATGCCTGCAGAGACCAAAATGAAAGGGTCACCCCTGAGGAAGGAAATGCTATTCATGGGAAATACCCAGGTCCTCTGTGGATCAGACAGAACATAGCAACCCCTCACAGCTGCTCCTGCTCTCATGGTCTTTCACTCACTAATCTAAAAACCACATGCAAGAAGCCAATGAATATGTTGAACTTTGGTTTGCCAACCTACCTTTTCCCCCGCTGAGCTCTCATCCGGCCTCGTTCCATGTGGCCTCCGCGACCCCGGTTCTTCTGGGTGTTCCTGCGGCCACCCAAGCGACACTCAGTGCCTGAATAGGAACTGTCTGAATCAGAATCACTATTTTGAGAGAGGGAGAAGGAAAGTTAAAGTGTTTCGTCTCTTAACTCTTCTATGCAAGACAAGGTCCTAAATTGTAATCAGCTTCGTGTTACACCTGCCCCACTAGCTCTTGCGAACCTTAAGGCTGTTTGTACAATCATAAAATAACCTGGTTTACAAATTAGCCCAGCTAATTTTCCTTTTAAATTTTCTAGCTCTTACACCGAATACAATTCTGTTGTATATGCCACTTAATCAACACACCCCTTAATGACCTGGTGCAAGCTAAGAAGAGTTTGGATTTGATATCCCGTTTTATCACTACCCGAAGGAGTCTCAAAGCGGCTAACATTCTCGTTTCCCTTCCTTCCCCACAACACTCTGTGAGGTGAGTGGGGCTGAGAGACTTCAGAGAAGTGTGACTAGCCCAAGGTCACCCAGCAGCTGCATGTGGAGGAGCGGAGATGCGAACCCGGTTCCCCAGATTGCAAGACTACTGCTCTTAACCACTACACCACACTGGCTCTCTAGGGAGAGCCCAAGAAACAGTCTCTGTTCCCATTTTGCTTCTTTTACTTACCTCCGTCGGAAGTGGCGGCTGGGAGACCGTGACGAGGAACGTGACCTGGAACGTGAATCAACACTTGAGGATGAACTGTTATCCTTCATGAAGACATTGCGGTTTCCGAACTTGGTGGGAAAGCCATTTCCGCGAGTCCGACCAGCCCCCGTTCCCCCTCCACCTCCTCCACGCTGTGGCTGAGAGTTGCCACCACCACTTCGCTGCTGTTGCTGCACCTGCTGTTGCTGCTGCTGGGAAAGGCTGGACTGCATGGAGTTCCGTGGTGAGTGGAGAGAAGACACCTCCCAGCGCTGCTGTTTCTTCTTGGGACTTTCAGCCATGCTGTCTCGGCCCAAGCTGCAGAGAAAGCATGGGACTGATAAGTGCTCTGGATGCAATCAAGTATTTACCCACATGCACCTTTCAAGGAAAATCTGCCATGAAAAACCATGGCCCCCAACATGCCTCTCTCCAAACGCCCTGGATCTCACTCAGAATAGCAGGGACAGCAAAACTAGCAACAACTAAGATCAGTGCTCCCAAGTCTGAAATCAGAAATCTTATGTAACACGCCTGGCCTTGCAGCTACTTACCCTGGAAGTGGCTCTCTGCTCCAGTCAATTGTATAGGCAGTGCCATCTTGCAGCCTGGCTTGTAGAACTTCCTTGAGCAGCTTCTCAGTGCGGTCCTTGTCCTCTTCCGACTCGCAGGCAGTGAAGCAGCGTTGGACGTACTCCTTCATGTCTGGTGGCCAGTCTTCTGGCTTCCCCGTTGAAGAACTGCAAGGAAAATTTTATTTATATTTCAAGGTTTCAGTAACATATTCTCAGTCATGCTAAGCCCTTTATTTAGGCCTTCAGTACACTTTGAAGGCTTTTGCCATGTTTAAGTAGGAAGCAGAGAAAAAGCAAAAGTTTTGGGAAAACACCATCTTATTTATTATATACCTTCAGACTACGTCTAACTGTGTTAGGCTGGCAAACATAGCAGCAAACAGCATTCAGAAAGAAACCCCTCACCAAGACTCATGCCACTCTTCAGGGTATGGCCTCTCTGAAGCGTTACCAACACGGTCCAAAGTTTTTATGAAAGAGACTAATCTATATTGCATGGTAATTTCTTCTGAGCCAAACTCGTTTTGAAATTCACTGAACTTAGCTCTTTCAACACTATCTCACCAACAGTTTGAAGGCCACATCTTCCTATGAATGCATCAGCTGGAGATGGACCAACCTCCAGAAAGAAATGAATGTTTTAGAGGCTTCAGCAATGAAACACAAAAAGCCTTTAAGCAATCTTCTCATTTAGTACTGAAAGGTGCTAGCTAGCTGCAAAGAACACCTGGCTACAGAGCATGCCTGGAGTGCTTCTCAATGAGGAAGGAGGGAGTGGCAGCTAGAACTTAGTTGGGGCTCTCAAGGAAGGACAGAAGTAGGCTCAATGAGGGGCAGGGCGTGGGGAGAAAGTACAGCAAGCCAGAATGAGAGGCTTAGTGGGCTGCATTCAGGCTGCGGACCAGAGATTCCCATCTTTGCACGTACACCTCTGTGCTGTGAGAACTTTAGGGATTTGAGAGTGAGACACTATAGTAAAAGTCCAAGAGCAGCGATAGCCAAGCAAAAGGCAGCACTGCTCCCAGGCTTCCCTCCTAGCATAATGGCATCCTAGTTGGTGAAATGGGGACCAGATATGACCATGATGTGGAAATCACTGGTATATTTAATAATCTGGGCTGGATTGAAGTGAACAGGTACAAAGTAAGTAAGGTGCTTCATTTCTACAGGCTGAACATCAGCTGCTGTTCTGAATCAGAAACCTTGGCTTACAAGAAACTCAGCAGGGCACAATCTTAATTATAGTGGCAGCAAGAATTTTTGCTCCCAGAAACCCTACACTGAAACCAAGCAACCAGGTGCTTTCCAGCCTCTTCCTAGAACTAGAAGGCTAGAAACGTGTTAGCCGCCCTGAGCCCGGCCTTGGCTGGGGAGGGCGGGGTATAAATAAAAATTATTATTATTATTAAACGTACAAAAATGAAAATGAAGTATTCCCAGGAATATGGAACAATCACTGACACTAACCCCCCCCCCCCCGAAAGCAGAGCCACAGGCAAGGGGATTTCTGCAACCTAGAGATTTGCTTGCCACCATCCCAGTTTCCTTCCCCTTACTAGAAGTGTGAGAGCCTACCACCCAAACATAAATAATGAAAAACTGAGGAACTTATGCACACCTGTGATTGTGGCGTTTCTCAGAATTCTGCTGGGAACCAAAGTTGCTGTGTTGTTGTTGTTGTTGTTGCTGCTGTTGCTCTGAGGAGTTGAAGTTCTGATTTGTTACCACAAAGGGGCGTTTTGGTAAGTTGAATTTCAGACCACCAGACCCAGGTGCTTCTGTTGGGAAAGAGAGGGGTTTTGTGGTGATTCTTTTTTGGAATTTGGCTTTCAGCCTCCTCCAGGCACAGACTTAAAATGCCATAAGGGAGACTCTTATTAGTTACTGTGGCCACAGACAGTAAGTGGTACCATTCGTCTCTGTAAAACTAGAGAGAAACAGCAGTTCCTTTGAGTGAAAGCACAGCAATAAAGGAGTATTTTAACTATTTGGAAATGCAGTAAGCACTCCCAACTAGTCAGGACTGGGTGCTAGGTCTTTTATAAAAAAAAAGAAATCTCCTTCCCATTGAAATCAGTGAGACAAGAGTAAAGACACAGCTAACTTATTGCATCAAACACCTAAGTGCAACTATCTCAATGTTGATCCAATGAGCTTTTTGGGTTACTGGGAAGCGCTTCAACTTGCCCAAGGGGGTTTCCTATCTTGCTGATTCTCCCCTCTAAGCTCCCTCATGTCACTAACCATGAGGGTCTAGAAGGCTCCCAACTCTAAAGAGCAGCTTTTTGGAGGATTCAAGGGGCTGCAGTAGGAAATCCACACTGGACGTGAACCAGTGTGCTGTAGTGGTTAAAAAAGTGTTGGAATAAGGACAGGAGACAGCCTAGATTCAAATCCCTATGAAGATCACTGGGTGACCTTGGGCCAGTCACCGTCTTTCAGCCTAACCTATCTCACAGGGTTGCTTTGAGGGGGGAAAACAGGAAGAGAGAGAACCATTTTCATCACTCTCAGCTCCTTGAAGGAAAGGTGGTATGTAACGATATGCATGCACGCAGAAAAGAAGCTGTTTGTGTTTCTCAAGAGTCCAAGCCCATATATTAAAACTTTACTAAAATGGTATCAACAGTTCACAATTCTTGGCTGGATTCAGTGGCTTCTAGTACCATTTCAAGCAATTGACAAGGCTTGACTTTCTTAGCTTTTGTTAGGCTTTTCCATAAGGGGCACCCACCACCCAGCAAAGAGGAGGAGGTCAGCACCCACATGTCTGCAGCATCCTCTCTTCCCTCAACCTATGATGTGAGTCTGGTGATACGTGTTTTCCCCCCCTCTAGTGCAGGGGTTGCCATGAACACTCTAAAAGATGTGGACCAGAACTTCTGTCAGCCCCACTTAGTGGAGCCAGGGGTCTGGGATGGTGGAAGCAGCCTTCCAAAGCATCTGCAGGGCACCATGTTTGCTGCTGCTGTTACTGCCCTGGCCCTTAGAAACTCACGTTTCATGCGGTTCCACAGCTGGTGTCCTTTCTTGGGCTTGGCGGCATCCTGGTAGGAATGCTGCTGCTGGTTGTACTGGTTTGAAGACTGGTTTTGCTGGCAGTGCGGCCCTCCAGGAGGCCCCCCCTGTTGCTGCTGCCCCCCAGAGCCCATGGGATGGTTGCTATGTTGTGAAGGATGGCTGGGATGTTGCATAGGGGACTGCGGGGGATTGGGGACTTGCATCTGTTGCTGTTGGCCTGGGTAGGACATCCCTCCATCTTCCATACCTGGGACTGGAGGCTGAGAGAAAAAGGAAGGCGATTGGCACCATCACCATCTCTGGAAGCCACATTCATGGACAGTAAACATTAAGTGTGCAAGGCCTCAAATCAGGCAGGAGTCAAATACACCATGGCTTCACACTTCTGCCTGAAAACCTAGAACCCCGGCCTCCCTTTTTCCATCCCCTCTCAGAACTGGGAAGGAAAGTCAGAATCTGTTTTGAGCCCCTGGCTGCGCAGATATGTTTCTATGTGCTGTATTTCTTTTGCATCACACTCCAGTCATTAACTACCATCACCGCAAACTTCTGAAGCAAGAATTTGAAACGCCAAAAAACCCAAGTCATACTGTCAAACTGCACAGCACAATACAGAGCTGGCCTTGCCCACATCCATGGTAGCATCACACCCAAAAGAATTTGGCTGAGTCAGACAAGTTTGGCTAGACATATGGGAAGGCAAAGAATTAAAGCTCATTTCCTCCTGCTGCCTTTAATACAGGCAACACCCTCTTTTCCAGAGAAGCTGTTTACTATTGGCAGCGAAAGAACAGATCATCCAACAGCCTTTCTGTAATCCACCAAGCCCTCGTCAGCTAAAATAGCTCTTTACATTAAGAGATAAGACAGTATTTGGAGAAATTACTTAGAAATTAAATTTTTATCTGTCCTTTCTAGTGTTGCCTGGCTTATAAAAAAAATGCAAGTTTTTCTGGCAAGATTTTGTAAATTTTGTTTAATAAAATGTTCTGTAAAATCAATTTTTGACATCTAATTGCAAGTGTAAAAAATTAAATAGAGTTTAGGTATCCATTACCTGGTTCATGTTTCCCTGATGCTGTCCAGGAACTGGTGGTTGCTGGGATGCTGAGGAAGAGTAAGAACCTGGAACACCATATTGTCCAGGAGAGCCATACCCAGGGTAGACATTCTGTGGGAGGGCAAACCATGGAATCATATCAGAAGAGACATATTCAACATAAGAAGGTACTTCACATGCAATATAAAAGTTGGCCACTTCCCCATGCCTTCTATACGGCAGTTCATAGTGGTGGCCATAATCTCACTTGACTGAACAGAGGGCTTTTTTTCTTGCCCTGCCTTTCCTGCCCTCCAGAACCAAAGGGTTTCACTCAACAAGCTTTCTATCCATGTTGACATCCAAAGACCTCTTTGCTTCGATATTGCTTTGAACCGCAGAAATAAACAGCTCCAGCAGCAAGTTATGCTTCTGTGGCACACCTTCTCCGCAGTTTGCTTTGCAATTACCCTGTTGATTTGGTACAGGATGGAGGGAGGGCATAGGTGAAGCCCAACTGATGTGGTGGGAACTGCCTTCCCTTCCTGCCCCCCCACCATTCCGAAATTCTAGGATCCTTGCTGAAGATGTCTCTCAACTAAAGAAATGGAGTTACGATGAGCAGGCGTTCTGGGAGGGAGCTTAGGAGGCTGGCCAGCTGCTGTTACTTACCATAGGGTAATAGTAATTATAGGGGTAGAGGTAGTTGTACTGCTGGTACCACTGGTAGTATTGCTGCTGTTGCTGTTGCTGTTGCTGTTGTTGCTGCTGCAAGGATTCTCCTTGTTGGGCTGCATACTATAGAAGAAAAGAGCAAAAATATATATCATAAAAGGATGCTCACGAATTTGTTTGACCTTGTTGAAATAGGAGCTAGGCTAGCTGTCCAATCACTCCAGGATCTTACTACTTTAGTTTCAGAATGACAGATTTGGTTGTGTGTCTGTCTGTCTGTTCAGTAATACAATCATGCTACCCAGGCATCCAAAGTCCCAATAATGCAGACACCAAATCTGTCACAGAAAGCTGAGGCTCCTGGCCTAGTCTACATCCTCCCCAAATCAAGAAGAATCTGTTCTTCACACTATGGAAGACATGCCAACAAAACGCTCATAGCATTCATGCTCATTTCCATGCAGTTACTGTATGCTTTAGGCTATGGAGCCTTGGCCAAAGCCTCCCCTTTGGCTTCTGAGCAGAGTTCCAGCTAGCAAGTTAAGATTACATTTCCAAAGGTTTGTCAAAAGCAGACTTGCACACTATGAAAACTGGCAAAGAATTGTGCAACCTCTTGGATTACTCCAAGATGCCTTTCCAGGCAGCTGAAGAAATATTAAACCTTCTTACCTGTGCATTAGCCTGTCCATTGGTGGCACCTTTGTTATTGCCAGAGGCAGCAGCAGCACTGGCCTTACTAATGCTAGCTAGTGCTTGACGGGCCTTCTCCCATTCGGGGTTCTCATGCATGGGGCCTTCCATTCCATTCTCTCTGCTGCTCCCGTTGCCCAGATTGTACTGGGGAGCCCTACAAGGTGACATATTGGGATGAAAGATTAGTGAATTCCAGGCTCAGTTATTACACAGCCTATTATTATTATTAAAACATTTAATTGAGCAGTGTTTTCAGTTTCTGTTTGCCATTCCTTGATCATTCTTCTGAATTTACAGGACTGAACGCTCAAGGCGACCCAGTGAGCCAGTATCATTTGAACCCAGATCCAAATCCTCTCAATATTCACAGCTAGAGAGTCTCACATAAGTAAATTGTACTAGGTTCATGTCACAGGACTACCTTATAAGCTATTCCGTTCCAGCTAAAGCATCTGAAACCATTCAATTGATCAGCATCCAGAAGGTGTGACCAGGATGCTCATGGCACACTGCCACCCATCAGAAGCGTCAACACTGAAGTTTAAGGCCTTCTAAATCCGGGATGGGGGAACCTGTGGCACTCCATTTGTTGTCAAACTCCCAATTCCCACCAGCCCCAGCCAGCATAGCCAATAGTTAAGGATGACAGTAGTTGTGGCCCATATATGGAGGATAAAAAGGCTCCCCTTTTGTGTTCAAAACTCTCACTAATTTAGACCAAGGCTGACTTACAAGGTAAAGGTACCCCTGCCCGTACGGGCCAGTCGTGGTACGACTCTAGGGTTGTGCGCTCATCTCACTTAAGAGGCCGGGAGCCAGCGCTGTCCGAAGACACTTCCGGGTCACGTGGCCAGCGTGACGAAGCTGCTCTGGCAAGCCATCACCAGCGCAGCACACAGAAACGCCGTTTACCTCCCGCTATAAAGCGGTACCTATTTATCTACTTGCACTTAGGGGTGCTTTTGAACTGCTAGGTGGGCAGGAGCTGGGACCGAAAGACGGGAGCTCACCCCGCCGCGGGGATTCGAACCGCTGACCATGCGATCGGCAAGTTCTAGGCAATGAGGTTTTACCCACAGCGCCACCCGCGTCCCACGGCTGACTTAAGCCCCTTCAAATCAACGGCAGCTAAAGGGCCCTGGCAACAGAAGGCACCACATGCAGCCAGGTAGCTGACTCACAAGGCCAATAGAGGCCCTTTGTGACATCAGACCAGTTCAAGGACTGATAACTGAAGCAGCAAATGCAGAAAAAACGGACACCGGAGGACAGCTGTTTCCTCTGCTTCCTCCCTTCTGAAAGCCTTGTGCTCCCGCTCCCCCCCGGATTTGAGACAATTTATATCCTAATCTGAACCAGGATTACTTGTAAATAATCACTATGCAAGATCAGGCAAAGTCTTTGTTTTGTTTATTTTCAGGACAACTCTCAACCTTGAAATGAGCTCCATAAAAGCTACTAGCCTGCAATCTCATATTTCTATGTTGACCATTTGTAGCCTACGCACAAGCACACCAGGTTTTGTGTCCTTCTACTTGGTTCCCTTGAGACCACTCTTGCTCCCCAAAGTAAGGCTGGACATTTGATCAGTCCAAAAAGATCCGGGTGAACTGATTGGTGAAGTATTTGCAAAAAATGGGCATATATTTTTTAAACATTAACTGTATTAGAACAAAAAAACCCTTAAGTTGTCCATAAAGTTGGCATATATACTAATTACAGAAACAAATGAGTTAATAGGTTATTGTTCCACAATAAGTGTGAACAAGTTTCTAGACTCTAGACCTCTCTCACACAGGAGCTTGACAGAGCAGACAGCCAATCACACAAAGTAGGCAGACTAGTCTCTGCTACAAACAAGTTGAAATTACTGGTGATCCAAGGGTGCTACCTTTGCCAGTGATGACTACGTTCCTGTTTGAAGATGGCTACACGTATGGCAGATTAAAGCCTCACTCCCAGGCTTTGCTAATAGGTGACACAATAATAAAAGGTGATTCCTACATAGTGCCAACTTAGGCTTTATCTGACTGTGATCAAATAATTAGTTGCCAACAGACAACAACCAACTATTCGACTGGTAATCCTAGCAACTGGGCAAGTTGCTGTGAAGCTTGCCTTAACCATGTTGTTTTTTTCTGCTCAAAACCACCACTAGATCTTTATTCATTTAGAAAGCGGGTGGCTAACCTATGGTCTTCCAGATGTTACTGAACTTCAACTCCTATCAGTCTAAACCAGCATGACCAATAGTAAGAGACAATGGAAGCTGTAGTCCAGCAACAGTTTGGGAGACAAGCTTTGTCTCCAAAGTAGAATAAAATAAGCCAGCTTTTCTGCTGTTGGTTTGTTTGATTTGTTTGTTTGTTTGCATTTGACTTTCAATCAGTTCTAAATTTGTTAGATGCTCTGAAGGCCCACAGGCACAAAAAGTAGTCTAGAAATACTTAAAAAAAAACATTCATTTAGTACAGGAATTTATATGCTGCTCTATAACCAAGTTCTCAAGAATAGTTACAATGCCGATTAAAAGGAAAGAAAACACAAACAACTCAAGAACAGAACTTGTCCCAAAAACGTAAAGAACCTTACTTAATGAAAATGATAACAAAGCTTTTTTTTTATTGCCCCAGGGACAATTTTCTGCAGAGGAAATGCAACACTCACCCACATTTGATGACTAATGGAAAAGCAGAGGCCTGAAAAAGGTAAGTACTATACATTTGACACTCTGGTCTCACTTTCCTTCCTCCTGAATGTCCTGTTATAGTCAACTCTGCAAGACCAGCAGACTTGTGAAATCATTGCCATTATGATGTCACAAGGTGAAATTATGATCTCAGTGACCAAAGTCTCAAAAACATGTTTAGTTTGGCATGTGTCCTCAATACAACTCTACTGCTGTTATAGCTGGCCACTGGTCCTATCTCTTAAGACATCCACATTTCCCCTATGAGATGATAGCAGGCAGTTACCATAAAATCTGTCAAAACATCTATGCTAGATGCATCTCTTCTGCACTGGCTAGCCAACAAATTTGGTACACAGTATTTGGGTTTCACTTAAATTTCCTGTTATGTGACACATAATTTTGTGGGATTAAACTTGATTTCTCATTCTACAGAACCAGGGCCATCAATCTTGAGCCAAGACATCAGACTTTACCTTCATCCAGAAAGCTGTTATAGCTGCAAGCTTTCATCTACGAGAGACCTAGCCCCTTCTTGAGCTCTGATCAGTACCTCTTCTTTCCTCCACAAGCCTATCCAGCCACGTAAAAACTGATCTCAATTTGCTCCTCCACCTGATGCTTGAACCTATAATACAGGCTTACACTGAACCAGACCACTGGCCCATCAAGCTCAGTGCTAACTACCAGTGGCACTCAGAGGTATCCAGCAGGGGTCTTCCCTAGTGCTCCTGAGATTGGGGCGGGGAGAGAGAGAAGGTAAATTCTTCTCTGGGTTTGAATTTTAGCCACATGGAATTTCAACGTTGGAAACGAACCTATTTCCTTAGACACACTCATCTGGTGAGTTAATATCTTTTAACAGCAACAAATTCCTAGCCCTTTTAGGTTATGAGAGATAACAGCTTGTGTTACAGCCTGAAAAAGCTGGCTTATTATTCCAGCCACACAGCAACATTGTTATGAGCATAGAATGAGGAAGCAAATGCAGATCAGGTTACCAGAAGTACAGTGGACAGCCTTCTGCATTTTAAAACCACTCGGCCATCCCGAATGCCTCCTTTAATGACACCCCACCGACCAAGTTAAAATAAACTGCTGCAATCACCATTCCGAGGCACGCTGGTCGCCTAGATTGGCAGCCATCCTTAGGTCCGTGGAACCGACAGCCGAAACCAATCCTTCCCCCGGCGACCTTCTCTTGGAGCGACTGCCCGCCCTCTTTTCTTCTTCTTCTTTTCCACAAGTAGAGGCCAAACAAAGGAAGTTAACTGGGCGAGATGAACATCCCGCTCGAGGCACCGCCGACACCTGGGGACGCCCCTTGGGCACCCTCGACGCCCACTTCTAGGGCGCCCAGCACAGGGCGAGAGGAGGGGGCAGGGAATGAGGCTCCCGAAAAGCCAAAATCCTAAAGAGTGAAAGGTCAGGGATCTCCCTCTGAAGCCCCCTCCCAGTAAGAGGAGCTGTGGTCTGCAGAGGCCGATGCGCCCTCCTTGTCGCCCCAACCCCGGGGTCTAATATCCTGTGTACCCCCGGCGGTTTATAAAAAAACTGTGCCCCAAGTTAAGTGTATTTTCTCTCCTACCCCGCCCCACCCAAGTCTCCACCAACGCCCCCCTCCTTTCCCTGGCGAAGGAGACCCCCTGCCCTTGTGCCCCCTCCCAACTGGCAGCCCCCCACAAAACTCAGGGGTCCCCCTCCCGGCCTGCCCACCGCAGGCCAACCTCGCTCTCCCGGACTCCGCTCGGCCTCGTCCTGCCTCCCTCAGTCGGCCGCTTCTTCCCTCATCCGGGTCTTGCCCCCTCCCCCCCTTCCTCTCTCCCCTCAGCCTAACAGGGCGGAGGGAAATATAAAGGGTGGAAGCGGCTCTCTCGGCCTCGCCGCTGCGGTGGTGGCGACGGGAGGCGAAGCGGGGCGGCTTTTCGGGGTTATTTATTGTCGTCGTTGTTCTCCTTCCGGCGCCGCAGCGAGAAGCGGGAAGCGCTGCAAGGCCGTTGGGTCTCCGCGCTGGCAAAAAAGCCGGAGAAGGAGCCTCTCGCTTTTCCAAAATGGCGCCCGCCGCCTCCTCCGTCTCCGTCTCCTCCTCCGTCTGCCTTTTCTTCCTTCCGGCGGCCAAGCAGGAAGAGGCGGGGAGGGAGCAAGAGGCGTTCGACGCTTCGTCCTGTCAGTCAAAAGTCTTCTTGCGGCGCTGAGGGGAGGAGGTCTGCGCAAGTCCGGTAGTAGGGAGGCACCGGTTCTTGGCTCTGCGCCCCGGGTTCGAATCCCCACCTCTCCCCCGCAACTGTTGGTAGGTCAAAGTGTGCCAAGTAGGTACTGCCCCTGAGACGACGAATGGGATCAAAATGGAAACATGCAGGATCGCTAATAGACATTAAAATGGTTTGAGACTCTAGAGGCTATTGGACTTCAACTCCCATCAACCCCATCCAGCATAGCCAATAGTAGGGGATGATGGGAGTTTGAGTCCACATCTGGAGGGCAACAGCTTCCCCCTTCCTGTTTTAGTGCTCGCTCTTTGAAGAAAATTCTGATGTTGGGTACGATTGAGGGCACAAGGAGAAGGGGATGACAGAGGACGAGATGGTTGGACAGTGTTATAGAAGCAACCAACATGAATTTGACGAAACTGTGGGAGGCAGTAGAAGACAGGAGTGCCTGGCCTGCTCTGGTCCATGGGGTCACGAAGAGTCGGACACGACTAATCAACTAAACAACAACACACACACACCTCCTTTTATTTTATTATTAGTCCCACTATTGATTTTCCATCTCTATTGCTTCTGTTGGGGCATCTGGGATGCTTCTCAGATCTCTGTCGGCAATTGGCTGAAAGGCACTGTCTGTCATTTGCTTTCAACTGGTGGTGGCTAAAAGTGGGACAATGATGCCACAGATTCTATGCCACTGTGGTTCTTACAGAGGTAGGGCAGTGTGTAGACAGACACACAGCCTGAAAGACAGCACTGGTTTGATCCCCGAGATTTTCCATAGGTGCAGGGCAGTGTCACTGTAGCATATGGAATCTAGGCAATAGCATCACTGTGATGAACCATTCGCACTGGAAATAAGACTGGAACATCATACCAGATACATATGAGGACGTTGATGGTGTGCTTGCTTCTGTTTCTCTACTTACTAGTGCAATTAAAGTCCTTGTCGTTTACTCCTACACAGACTCTGGAAATGGTTAGGTTCCTACTGCGCCATCTTTTTAAAGCCTCACTCGCTGGATCATCACCTTGTCGTGGTGAGTGGGCTTACACGTTCCTATGACCCTTGTGAGCGAAGCCTTCAGGAATCTCGTACTCGCAGCAGGGTCAACCAAGGCAGTAAGGTCAAAGGGAAGGAGTTAGGCAAAGAATGATCCAGGAAGTCCTCTACGGCAGAACAGGTGGATGATAAGCGGTATGTTACAACGGCTGTGAAGGCGGATGAAGGCTGAAGCATATAAGAATCTACTGGTCATTGTGACTACTCATGCCATCGGAACAGAGCCTTACTGCGAAGACTGTGCGTTGGTCAGCATGCAATGATCTACGCACATAAAACAAATTCACACACAGGTGTCTTCCAAAAACCCACCCCAAACCATGCTTATGGAAGACAATCTTACTCGGCTACGAGTGATCACCAAAGAAGAAGATTTTTAAAGCACATAACCAAAGAAACCTGAGAATTATAGTCTGTTAAAGGTTTTGGGAACTCTGATGGGTAAACTACAGTTTCCACGATTCTTTGGAGGAAGCCATGTGCTTTAAACACGTTTTAAATGTATGGTGTGAGCACAGCCATAAGTCTCAATAGGACTTGCTACCAGGTTAATGTGCAAAGAATTGCATCCCTATAGCACAGGAATTAGGAACCTTTGGCCCTTCAGAGGTTGGTGAACCACAACTCTCATCAGCTCCAGCAAGCATGGACAATAGTCAGGGATGACGAGAGCTGCACCGTAATTAAAATATATCTGGTATTCTTTAAATATGCTTCTAGTAAGATGGCATCCATAATAAAACTGAAGCATCATGGCCAATTTGTGTGGTGACAACCTAGTGAGCTAATGCTTGTTTGAGACATTTATGCTCATATATTCATTGATTTTAAAACATATCCCAATCTGCTTATTTGGTCCTATCATTTCATTTCAAGTTAGGTGTCTTTAACCCAGCTAGAATGAAAACTTCGTATAAAAAAACCTTGCAGTTTCACTAAAAGTAGTACTTTTTTCTGGGGATACGCAGGGATATGCATACCCCTAAACATTTTATGAATCTTTGTACTTTTGTCCATTTACTGTATTTATTTTTCCCGATTCAAACTATAAAATAGTGATTTTCTTGAGTCAAAATGAGAGTATCCCTAAACATTTTTTTAGGAAAAAAAAGCACTGACTAACAGTAATCTTGGATATAACGGTTCAAGCCTTAGCAACTGCATAGCAACCCTACTGCAGAAATGATATAATTGTATGTGTGTGAAGATGAATGGTTTTTGCTTACACAGGCTGGAAGCCAAGAAGCAAGTTTGGGCTAGTGGTTGTGAGGTCTGAAAAATGTGATGCAAGCAATCTGGATAGTGCTAGTTGAATGTACGGGGACTCTGGGCCTATGTGGTAGATGTTTCCATGCTTATGAATATTGAGACAAACCTGGATTTTGGCAAAGGATAAGGCTACTTTTGTAACTTTGTAGATCCTGTGGGATAAGACTTCGTTCTTCATCCTATACAGTATAAACAGGTCTCTCTAAGTGCCAATTAGGCTACACAGTAAAACCCAAAGAGACAGTGCATGTCTGCAACACCTTGTTCTCTAACCTTTTCCTATTCTTCCTTCCCACAAAGATCCCTGGCCAGGATCCTTTGTGTACGTATCACCCCATCCTTGCTATGCGTGGATTAGGGTTAGTCTGTTTAGGATACATAATCCCTTCACTCCAATTTCCATTTCCTATTTCCCAAGCTTTCCCTTAGGTAGAGGACACTGCAGCTGTGTAAAGTTTGGATGGGGAACAATGCTTTTAAACTTATATTTTTATCCTGGCTTTCCCTGCCCAAGAAAGAAAGGTATTCCCCAACTGTAGATTTGGGAATTAGTTCTGAACAGAGATACATAGCATTGCAGTGTTAGAGATTCAGTCCATTGATCTTGTTTGTGGCTGAATAAACAGCTCAGAGGAAGTGTAGATCAATTACTCATCATATGGCATGCAGAATGCAACAGGGTATCTGAATTGCCAGCATTTTTCTTAGCAAGGCTCCTCTGGCTGTGTGATGGGCAGAACCTCAATAGGCACATCCTGTATTCTATCCTGGGAAAGGTGAAGTAATAATGAAGATAGTGTGACCTTTTGTGCATGTGCAGAAGATCCCCATGTGTTTGCTGTCTTCATAGGTAGGACGCCCAAGGCCCACCCTTATTCCTATATTTATAACCTACCTTTTCCTTCAAGGAGCTGAAGGTGGCTTGCTTGGTTCTTCCACCCCTCCCCATTTATCATCACAACAACCCTGGGAGGTAGAACAGATGAGTGACTGACTGACCTAAGATCACTCAATGAGCTTCATGCCCACTAACAACATGGGAGCCACTTTGTTTCTGTTCCTTTTTTTTAACCACATACATGCACCTTACTAGAGAAGCAAACTGGAAAGGGAGGTCATTAGGTTGACCAGTTGAAAAAGAGAAGGCACCTTGAGCTGTTGTGTAGTAGAACGTGCCCGTCTGCATTCCTTAGTGCAGAAAGTATTGATCAGATGTGTAGAGATCTTTCCTATTCTAATTAATTCAAGAGGGTTCTGGAAGCTTCTCTGTGAGAAACAAGCAGAAGGTTCATGATGCTTGGGGTTATTCCTTCAGAGAAGCTGGCTTAAACTGGTTCTGTTATCTCTTCTGTCAAGTTCATGCTGACTATAAAAGTAAGGCCAGAAGGAGGCTGGGTCTCACTTTCACTTTCTATCTCTTTTCTTTCTGGTGTGGGGTTCTGTACAAAGTATGCTATAGTGTTAAGGTTTAGACTTATTATAAGTTATTGTAAGTTTAAGTTAGGCCTGCTGCAACTGGATTTCTTATGGACAGTGCCAATCCTGAATGTACAGTGGTACCTCAGGTTACATACACTTCAGGTTACAGACTTTGCTAACCCAGA